TCGAGAAACCCACGCGGGTACAAAAGCTGCTCTGCGTGGCGGTAGCGAAAGCTTGCGCTGGGAACCTGCTTGGTTCGATCCCCACTGCCCCCGCCCCTTTCGATCTGGACGAGTTTCGCACCGGCACGCGTTCGTGTAATCACTACTGCGTGATGCACGTTAAAACCCCCAGGTAAGCGGTTGTACTGCACTGGCTAAATTTCTCATCCACAGCTAAGCGACCGGTCACCCGTTGACGTGTCATCATCAAGGCTGTATAAAAGCAAGCCAATTTTTTGTTTTCTGTTCGGTGTCAGTCTTGTCCCAGCGCTCGATTCTGCTGTTTCGCTGACATCGACGCCTGCAATGCTAGCCTTTCTCTATTTTGTTTTGGGCACAAGTTCGCCCCATTAAACATTTAATTTCTTCAGTTATTCGCCGCCCCATCATTTGTCATTCGTGACCATATCCTGCTCTCCATAGTAGGTACTGCATAAAATAGCCTTACGATACTTTTTTCCTCCGTTTTGTGTTGGTTCGCGCAAATAAACCCTTCTGGTAAACCAGATTTGCGCAACTGTATAATTGTGTTTGTTACTGACGTCGATACAAATTACGCAATCCGTAAGTATCTTCAAAAGTAATTTAATTACATTTCTAAGTATTTGTACTCTACTCAAGATACTTTACAGTGAAAGTAACTCGAGTAGTATTTTAAATACTTTATGAACCAGGTATTTAGTAAGTTAATTTAAATACTTTTATCGAGTATTTGTCCAACACTGCGTCAGGGGTCCCAAACATCGTAGCTCAGGGGTCTCAAACACGCGGCCCGCGGGCCGCACGCGGCCCGCGGGCCGCATGCGGCCCGTGGCTCTCTGGAACTCGGCCCGCGCGCATCCCGCGGCTGCGAGCCCCCTTTCCCATGCCTCGAGCGCGACATGCGCCAAAAACACTAGTTTAATATTGTCGATTCCTCACCGCTTGAAAAGGAGCTCTGCTATTATGTCTTCCTCACAAATTCTGCATTATTCTGTTCTCTTTTGGACTGAGTATTGCTTTATCTAAATATTTGATTACCAGTCCTTTCTCGTGTAGATCAACCGGCACGGCAATACCACTACTAGGCTACAAGCACGAGCTTTTTGCACAAGGAGGCACCTCGGACGCTCGAACTGTCGCTCCACAGGAGGAACTGGTAAAGTTAAATGTATTAGCTCGAGCTTCTAGCTGTCAGATAACACCTTGAAAGTACAAGTATTTTGTATGTTGCTATACAAATCGTCAGGAAGGCAAAAACGGCTGTATGAGGAGTATTTTTTTTTTTCTGTGCCTGTTCAGCTTAGTTAAGAAACTTGACACGCGGCATTTGAACCACAGATATCGCGGTGACTGATGTCTGGCAAACTGTCTTTTGTAGGATCTATAAGCAGTGTGAATGTATTTCTTCCACCGTGGTGTGACCTCGGCTAAAGCGAGCGAATTTTGATAAAAAGCACTTTTTAGCATTAGCAAACTGTCGGAACTCGTCCGAGGTGGCATCTGTACGCGAATAGCAGGGTTTAAATAGTCATCAACTCAATTTTCCCAGCGCCGAGTGGTTTCGGTGGCGTCCTCTTATGCTTTCCGTTTGTGAAATCAAGACTAGAATTTTCCTCGACGTGACGTCAGGAGTTGTAATTTTTAACTACTTAACATCAGTTGCGAATTACAAGTTGGATGCTGTGGGCAAAAATAACAGCAATAGCTCAGAGTCATCGCATTATTAAACCATCATCATCACAGGTAATTGACACCCTGACATTGCGCTGACTTCCGTCGACGAACGAAAAACTAATCCAGATAAAGACGTCACGGTAAGCGTCTGGCCAATCGCGAATAGACCCTTTGCGAAAGTCAGTCTACCCACCTTGGGCAGAGCCAGACACGACGCTCTAATGGCGGAACTACACTGTTTCTCCGCACCAGAAAACTCGAACGTCTTCGAAAGCGTAGAGCAGACAAAGGAAAAGATGTCGGTAGTTTCACGTCATCTTCGATGCACAAAATCTAGGGTGCTTGATTTAGCTGCGCATGATCTCCTATCACCGCCATTAGAGCGGCAATATTGGAGCTTTTTGGGCTGCCACAAGAGGACTCTTGACTTTTGAAAAGGGTCTATTGCGACCACAGCGACGCTTTCGGTCGAGCACGTCGCTAAAGGAGAAAGGTCAGAGGTAACGCATTGTTGACACACTGTCTGTATTGCGGACATGCACCTCGCGCAGGATTTTCCGAGACGCTTTAGTCAACGGCAATTTTCTTATCAATTTCATCGCGTATCTGTGTGGGTTGTTCCCATTGGAGAACACCTGGCTATCGGGCGATTGAAATCCATAGCAAACAAACTTGCTGCGCCAATCAGGGTATGCCTTAGACAGGAAGTTAGGCTGAGTCTTTCACCTTAAAGGCGCTTTCAGAATAGCGCCTCGCATTACGGTCGACGCGTTGGGGAGCTCACCAGGTATCGTCGGGACATTCAATCACCATTACCAGGTACGTGCAAGGACTGAATATTTTGAACCAATGCTGGGGCGTGTCTAAGCATTGGTTGCATGCACCACTGCATTTTCGGACTCCGTGCCGGCATTCGTGTATATCGATAAGCTACATCAACCAAATAAGACTCACTGAGGTTGACTCTAAATACTCTGATCTTGAGAACACTCGAAATGCAGCCTACAATCATGGCATATCCCTGCAGATACGCTTAGCCAATTATATATATATATAGGGTGTTTTTAAGCTTAACAGATTTGTTTGAAAAAAGACGTGAAAGTTGCACTTAAGCGGTTTGTGCACGTCAATTATACACCCAGGGGGACATAGTATAGGGGGCTAATCGTAACAGTCGGTCGGCTAATGAATTAAAATTCGTTAATTAACTTTTTATTAATGAAAATAGATATATGGTTCCAATTAGAAACTTGCTCAGCGTCATCGAAAACCACTAAATCATTAATTCTCAGACAGACATTGAGCGCGTGAGAAGCGTAGTAGTGCACTAAAGTTACCACTCGTCGAGCAGGTACAAGGCTGGGGCTAGATCAGCGTTGGACAAAATACTCGATAAAAGTATTTAAGTAACTAAATATCTGCTTCATAAAGTATTTAAAATACTACTCAAGTTACTTTCACGGTAAAGTATCTTGAGTAGAGTACAAATATTTAGAAATTTAATTCAATTACTTTTCAAGATACTTCTGGGTTGCGTAATTTGTATCGACGTCAGTGACAACGACAATTATACAGTTGCACAAATCTGGTTTACCCGAATGGTTTATTAGCACGCAACAACACAAAACGGGGGGAAAAAAGCATCGTAGGGCTATTTTATGCAGTCCAACTATAAGGAGCAGGATATTCTCCCGAATGACAAATGATGAGGCGGCGAATAATTGAAGAAACTAAACGTTTAATGGGGCGAACTTGTGCCCAAAACAAAATAGAGAAGGGCTAGCGTCGCAGGCGTCGATGTCGGAGAAACACCAGGGTCGAGCGCTGGGACGAGACTGACTCAGGACTCAGGAGCTCCACGTGGAGCACCTTTCGTACCCGCGTGGGTTTCTGGAACATTCGGCGCGTAGAACATTCGTAACTCGATCACACGACAAGGTTCGAACTTACGAGAATATCAAGTTGAAAGAATAAACAAAGGAGAGGGCCCGCTCCCTGGAATCGAACCCGGAGGCTCCTCGCGGGAGCCAAGCGCGGTAACCATTCGGTCACGTCCTCGCTCGGCAACGCGCTTGGCAATCTCACTGATACATGTTACAAAAATTTCTGGGACAGAAATAAAGAGGTCGCTTTAGCTATAGTGACATCGCTGAATATCACGTCCTGCGGCGCACCTTAGACGCATCGTTTAACTATGATGGGGAGTTCACTCTAAGCGAACTTGGGATACGGATATGAGTGACTGGATAACAAAGAGAACCCACATAATAGCCACGGCAGTGGACGCACTTTCTGCAAGTAGGTTGCGTTCAGAAAGGCACTCAAGGTTGGGGGACGCTTTGTTGGGATTTTGAGAAGTCATCCAGCTTTTAGTTCGTTTCCTGTCCTGTTCTCTGCTTATAAATGTACAGATAGTGTTCGCGAGAGCAATAAGTGACGGACTGACGACAAAAGGGAAATAAACAAAAGAAAACCTCGACGTTTTGCCGTAGGGGGATTAAATATAAAACAAGCAAAACAAAATTGTCGTTTTTTTTTTCTATGTCCACTTTTCTTTTTGTTTTTTACATTTAAGTCTGCATTGTTTTCGTAGGTCCTTTCCCTGTCTGCGTTGCGCCTTAGTGTGTCAATCTTTACTTTCGTAAAACCCTCCGCTTTGTATGATGATTTTTCGGGGGAAGCTCTAGGAAACAAAATGCGCCTTCGGTAAGGCGTGGGGAAGACCTTAATTGTATGAACTTTGAGCTGAAATATGAGTCACAATCAGCAAAAAAGCGATGTTTTTTCTCGCGAGCTCAGTCAAAGTCACCGTAGCTAATCGGAGCTAGCAACAAGATTTGCTTGCTCGAAAGAATGTTCACGTTCGCTCGTGCCACGCCCACTCCACTTCTTACCGAAAAACTCGGAAAGTGACGGAATGTAAAAAAATTTATTTGAGATAATGAGTACAAGATACTCATAAATATAATTAAAATAAGAAATACTCTCGATCAAAAGTATTTGAAAGATACCCAGATACTTCAAAAAGTATTTGAAATACAGTATCTTGAGTAGAGTATTTGAGATAGGCACAGGTCTGGGCTAGACAAGAGAAGCAAAAATCGCGCGGGCGCCTTACCGCAACAGCTAGGCTTATATATATAATTATAGCATCTGCAGTGTGCACTAGTGTCGTAATACATTAAAAAGAAAACCGACCTCACGCTGTCTAAACACAAGATTCTAATTGTTTTTTGTTTTGTTTTTTGTCACTAGTTTAGTCTAAACTACACTTCATGTCTGCCTATTTCTCTCTACAGGTCCTGAAGTAGTTGACAACTTTTAGAAGGCTCAAAACTATCGAAGAACACTAGGACCATGATGACCAGGTTGACCACCTTGGGGTTTGCGTTGTTCGTCTGGCACTGTGAGCTACAGCTGACCAGGGCAGATGTGTGTGACGTAAGGACCTGTGACGCTAAATCAAACTGCTCCTGCATCAGTATGAAGCCGCCTGCAGGATTGACGATGGACACAATGCCGCAGTTTGTGATGCTTACTTTCGACGATGCCATCAACGAAGGGAACATCCACTTCTACCGGGAGCTCCTAGGATCGGGGAAGCGAAAGAACAAAGCGACGGGATGCGACATCGCAGCCACTTTCTTTGTATCGGCAGAGTACTTGAATTATCAGTACGTCCACGAGTTGTACACTAGACGCAACGAGATTGCGTCGCATTCAATCACGTAAGTTGCTTTCCCAATACAGTGATGCCTCGTTGATATGAACCCCCAGCCCCACCCCTCCAAGATCCGTTAATAATGTTCCTCCTCCATAATAACGAGATAAAAATGCATTCATTTACCCAGTTCGTTCCCGAAATGTTTGCACAGCAGGGTAACCATATTAACCAGGCTTTGTATTAACGATGCATGGTAGCTAAAACGGAGTACGCGGTGCTTTTTTTGAGACCTTTGAACACTTTCTGCTGAGCGACTCAACTCGAATAAAGCAAGTTGATTTTATAGTTCTGGTATATTATGTATGTAACTGTTAATAATAAGATAATGTAGAGGTTGGAAATGTTTTGTGTCTCTTTGACGATCGCATATCTAGTGAATCAGGAATCACTACACTCAACTAAAATTCAAATTCTCAGTTCAAATGCGTCAGACAACAAATTAAAAAAAATATATATGGCATAACCTCACGTAATTTATGTCTATATTCTTGTTTTTCTTGTTTCCTGCACTTCCTGTTCGCATATATTTGTGTCTATGTGCTTGTCATAATGCCTAACTGGTGCTGTAGGAGTTTTAGAAATAAATAGGTAATACCTGACATTCTCGCACGTAGAATACGGTATCGGGCCACTAAATCTCGGTGACCCCATGCGTAAAAGGGTGCCCCCAGTGCCGCGCAGAGGAACTACAGGACAGGCCGCCGTGTTTAAGTCACTATAGCAGACGACACACGCCACAAAGCTGTTGCTGCCCAGCATTTCACGCTCGCCGATGTGTAGTGTTGGTTGGCCACGCCTGATGGCCACAACCAGCTAGACGTGCGCGAGACCGGGAACTGCACATACAGAATCAGGGCATGAGGAAGCAGGTCGATCGGTTCTAGCTGGACTCTAATGAAACAAGTAACCGGGATGCTTGTGTACATTAGAGTAATGAAACAAAACATGGTGTCATAAGTAGAGGAATTACGAACATTCCCCGCGTACCAGGAGGTAACGTCTGCTGTCTACAGGTGAGCACTGCAGAAACTGACGGCGGCGTTGTTCATGACGTGGCAGCGAACAACGTGTTGCGAACCAGTGTGATGAACGAAGGCAGACAACTAGGCGGAGTCGCTCATGACGAGACAGAGGACTACGTGTGGCGAAATATCATGAAATGACGACACGACGTTCCGATGCAACAGCGCGATAGGGCTACGCCTCGTCGTGGAGGAAGCTGACCAAAATATGGCGAGTTGCTATCCCATAATGCTGTGCAAATCGAAACTGACGAAAAGCCCACCGTCGGGGGGCGCATTTGTGAAAGGGGTCTATTAACTTATACCGCTACACATCCGGCAGCAGTGAGAATCGCGCATGTATGGCGACTTTGTTCTCTCGGCCATAACGTCTTCACGTCTCGCTTTCTTGTCACGCCCTTTTGTCTCCTACGTGTTTGCCAGGTTACCCTCGCCAGAAACGTACTATACACGAAAATAAAGACCTCGGAAATCGATAACGAACATAAAACAACACCAGTACGCTTCAATCGTTCATTATCTTTATCTCATACTTGTTAGCTCTTTTCTTTTGCTCATATATCTAACTAACCTTCACGGTTGTATTCTTTTTATGACCCCCACTTTTATTTACATTTTCTCGCTTTTTTTTTTTTTTTTTGATCTTACTTTGTTTCGATTATTTTATTTTTTCTCTTGCTTGCCTTTCAATTACATTATTATATTTCATGTCCTTTCAATTTGTGTCCACCTTTCAATTTATTTTTATTTGTTATTTTCTTGACACTCAAGTCTGCATTGTTGTCGTAGGTCGTTTCATGCTTCGAGCCAACGCCTCCTAGAAAATGTAGCCGCGTAGTACTGAATTTTCTGTGCCACCTAAAGAAGCTCAGCGTTCGGCTGAATACTCGTGTTCTTGCTGATCCAACACTAATCTCAGCCGAATGCCCACGCAGTACTCGTACCAATTTATGTCCCGCGTTGAGCTTCTTCAGGGGACGCAAAATATTCAGCACTACAAATTTGTTATCCGGGAGGTGACTGCAAACCATGGTGAGTATGCAGCGGTAACCCCCCAATTCTCTAAACGATCTTACCATACTTTCAGGCACGTCCCAAACCAGCCCTACTGGCAGCGATTGAACGCGTCGGGTTGGAAAGCCGAGATCGTGGGCGAACGGGACATGCTCCACCACTACGGCCGGATCCCAGCGGGAGACGTCGTCGGCATGAGAGCCCCGTTCTTGGAGACCGGAGGCGACGGAAGCCACGTCATGCTGAGGGACAACGGCTTCCTGTATGACGCGTCCATCCCTTATAGGAGGCCCAACCGCACCAGTCTGCCAATCTACCCTTACACGTTGGACTACGGACTGCAGACCAAGTGCTCGATCCCTCCTTGTCCCAAGGGGAAGTATCCGGGGCTGTGGACAGTGCCCATGAATCTGCTCTTCGCCAAGAGGGACTTTCACGGGGCGCCCCTGGAAGAGCCCTGTTCCATGGCGGACGCTTGCGTGCCGGTGCCAGACACAGCATACGCTACGTTCAGCTTTTTGAAGTAAGTTGGCTCCGGGGTTACACTGCGAATACACCATACAAAAGACAGACTGCAGACACAGACCTAGGTGTGTTTGTCCCTTGTATGACGGTCGGGTCACATTGGTCATACAAACACTGTCCGCAGACATGTGCTAAGCACAGGTATATGTATGAAGCAGTCATGCCGTGCTTGGGGCGTGTCCGCACATGTCATCATGTCAGCAGCGAACGTCGTGTCTTTTGGATGATGTATACATCATTCAAAAGGCACGGTGTTTCCTCGCGAAAGTGCTCGCGACTGGTGATCTCTGATATTCATAAAGGCTTGAAGGCGTCAACACACAATAATGGCGAGCGAGGCGTTCAACGATACTTCTACATGTATGCCCGCGCAAGCAAGTATACGTAAAGTTTCAAGATTAGCCAAAGTCACTATTAAAGCTATAGGACATAACGCTCGCAGTTCAATTGGCCCGCCATAAACGGCTGATTTATTAGAGAGGAAAATACTTTCCAGCTGAGCAGTGTTCAGACAATATTGAGAAAGTATATACTTTGTTGGGTCTGAGAAACTTACGCAAAGTTTTCCCTGCTTCCTGGGAAATCGGATGCAAGCGGATAAAACATTTCAAGGTGATAGTATTCTGATGGCATGGCTATAATCGTAAAAGAAACAAGGGAAGAGGAAAAAAGGGCGGCACAGTCCCTTCTGCGTTTTTTTGTTCGCGATAACTCTACCCTGTTCCGAACGCTCCATTCATAGACTTTATTTTCAAATGTTAATCTTGTCAAACCCTCTTACTATAAATTTTAACAATAAGCTGACCTTATTTCTTGTTTTTTTTTAAATTTTGTCTGTACTAAGGTGCGCGAATCCTCGTACAATAGCACCTCCTGAGTGTAAGTTGTTGGCTTCTGTTTTGTACTGCAGGTCGAATTTCGACGACTTCTACAATACCAACAAGGCCCCGTTTCCTCTTTTTCTGCACGAGGCCTGGCTCAGGAATCCGGAACGAAAGGCAGGATACCTCAGTTTCGTCGATTGGCTTCTCACAAAGGATGACGTCCTTGTGGTTACAATCAAAGAGGTACGATACGAAACGATACGAATTTATTTTTCACCACAGATGCATATGGTGAATGGGAGGCAGTAGAAAAAAAAAGATGTAGAAATGCAGCTTGACTAAACACCGGTCTCCCTCATTCAGCAGCCACGACATAATACAGGCAAATTTGTTTATAAAGTGTGTGAGTATGACATATAACGGACAACTTATAATGCTAAATGAACAGTTTAAGCATAATGATGTTGGACAGGTGTGCAACACCGATATTTCCACCAAAAAAGATATTCAATAAAACGGGCAAAATGTAAGTTATTCTCTGTTTAGCATAATTGGTCCTACACTTCAGAATCTGCCAAGGCTGGTAATGGCTACATGAATAAAAGTCAAATTTTTTTTTAAATCAGAAAGATTAAGAACTACATCTGAGCACCCAAACGCCGCATACTTATACGCGATAGTTAATCGATAATCATATATACCTGTTGTATATTACAATGTTTGTGTGATTTAAACAATAACTGCGGTGGATGTATATTTACAATTATTATAATCACTTTTTCTGTAGTAAATGTAGTGTGTTTAAATTCGAGAAAGATTCATTTCCCCAAACTAGATTAAAATAGCACAGATGAGAATAAAATAACGAACGATATAGAACCCTTTTTACACTTGTTGGAAGAATATGCCTGTGTTTATTAATAATTCTTACGATATTTTTCCAGTTTAGCGCAGAGATATATTTAACATGGTTAGTCCAGAGCATGTTTTCCCAGAAAACAATTATAAGCGTTTTAATACTGCTTTCAAATCCAATATTTAAAGAAACAAAATTAAGAGAATCGTAAAGTCCATTGCTCGGACCTCGTGGGCGGAATAACATCACGGCTTTTGTTTTGGATACATTAATATGCAAAAGTTTACTTCCGCCAGGCACGTAGCCAGGATTTTGTTTCGGGAAGGGGGAGGGGGGGGGGGGAGGGGGAGGGGGGGCCCACTCATGACAAAATGCTGTATGAGGGGGAGGGGGAGAGGAGGTCCCAGCAAAATGGAAGATTACGGGGGGGGGCGGGCCCCATGAGCCTTCCCCTGGCTACGTGCCTGCTTCCGCCCATGTTTTGAACTTTAAAAGAAACGCATTAGCTTTACCCCTCAGACCCGCTTCGCATATGTCTGAAAAAATATACCTGTATCATTCGCATAGATTATATATAGGGCTCCGTGTTTTCGGAGTTTATTTTTCGTCAAATTCGGAAGGTGTTTTTTGGAGTTTATTTTTTGCCGAAGATTCGGAGTTTATCGGAGTTTATAATTTTTTTTCCCAATTTTTCGAAATTTGGAGTTTAATTTCGCTGTGTTCTCTATTTAAAAATAAATAAATAAACAAATAATAACCGAATGTAAACGTGTGCCAGATAAAAAATAAAACGCGGTTGTATCAATTGAAATATCTTCAGTTCAATTTGGCGTTGCTGCCATTGCCATTGGCAATACTAATTTATCCACGACAAAAGTCACACAAACCTGGCGCTTCGATAAACGCCGAAACCTTAAAATCAATAAACTCCCGGAGGTAGTCGCTAGGAAACACCTTTCCACAAAACGCTCCTGGGCCGCCGCCATGTTGCTGATGCTGATACGGCTGGTGCGACTCACGTGCGACTCTCGCGCCCTCTATCGGCTAGAAATTTTCTGCCACTCTTTGGAACTGTGAAGACCCGCTCAGCGCGGTTCTCTACCTACGTTTTTGAGGTTTTGCATTCGACGTTTTCTCGCCCCTCTTGAAAGTTTCCACTGATTTTTTTTTTTTTTTTAATGCGTGCTGCGTACCCTTTTTGTGTTATCATCCATTGTGAGAAATAAGGCTGGTAAGTGCCTGCCATTCAAGCTTTTCTACTCGACATTCACGGGAAACGAAGGAGGTGAAAAACGTGGAACGACCCTCGATGCGATTTTGCGAACATTGTTCTCCCCCCTCCCAGAGATAATCCGCGTAGAATCCTCAGTCATCTCCAAAAATAGTTGTACGGGTTGGGGTGAGAAACGGGTCAGTCGCGTTTGTTTCGCCTTGGTGCGGTTGTGAAAAAAGGCAGCTCTCCCCAAAACGTGCCCCAAAAGGAAGTCATCTCGGATTCCTTCCGATCGTCAAGATGTGACTGTCGTCGAATGTGACTGTGCTATTTGAGATCTTTATCAAGTAAATTCTTTTCGGATGACGCTGCATCGTGTGGTACGTACGATATATTGTTCGAATGGTAACACTTCCTCAATTGAATGTCCGTGTCCTGTCCATCGGTAAACACGTTATTTGTGAGCGTAAAAAATGCATGACTTTTGGCCCTCTTCTGTTGCAATTTATTTTTGACAGCAAAGCGCTTTGTCGTTTCACATGCGGCGAATCCCGCGGCGCCGTCAAAGCTTATTGTAAGAAAAATCCCAAATAACTAGAACTGTACATTCCAGTCGCATTCGTTCTGTCGCGCGCGTACCCAACAAAAATAGTTTACAGCTTTTTTTTTTTTTTTTTTTTGCTTTTGTTGTTTTTTTAGATCTGGCACAATGCTTTCTCAATGTCCTCGGGAACATACATGTACCATGAAACACAAAATATAGCGGAAAAAGACGAGCATTTAGCTGCCAGCAGCGTTTGAAACTGCGCCTACGCAGTCTGCGCCTATAGGAACCGTGCGCATCTAATTCAAGCCCCGACCAGGGCGCCCCTAGCGGCAAACGGGTCCATCGCATCGGGGAGCTTCTGCCAGTCGCTGCGTTGGTCGTGCGTTGTAGTGGGTTAGCGCTGTAATTTCTGAGATGGCTATTCCGCACCAAGAAAGCCGCAACAATTGCTGCGTGGTCGGCTGCAACAGTACGTCGAAGATCGCACACGGCACGAAGTACTACATCGTCCCTTCGAAGCCGTACGGCCGTACGAGGCGGAGTACTGCGCGACCTGCAGGTGCGACTACAGGTTAGTGGCGTTTCTTACCTTTCTGTTCGCGCTTTGTTTAAGCTGCTGACGAATAATACAATTAACTTTTTTCTATTCTAGCGACGATGGAACAGCCTCGACACCGATGGCAAACTCTAAAGTATGCGGCAAATACTTCACCGGAATCGAGAAGCGGAGTGCGGTCGCCCCCCTAAGCCTACACTTGGATGTTTCCATCAGCCTACAGGAAGATAGTAGTGGGAATCGCGGAACGGCGCGAAAAAAATCGCCCAGTTATTGTCAAGCTGATTCAGAAATAAACGTACATAATTACCACGGTCCACTCAACGCCAACTACATTTTTTTGCGGGCACGCTTAATTTTGTTAGCGGAGTACGGCGCTCCGTGACATCCACTTGTCCGTCGAAACGGACCTGCTTCACGTCGTACACGCGGCCAGATTCACGAAGGAGTTTTCCCTTCTTCATATTGGTACGACGGAAGAAGCTTTCTAGATTCGTCACCGCCTTATACCCCGTCGTAATCACCCCGGGAACACTATCCGCTGTGCTCGCTGTGCTGCTCATCGCCATTGCTTCCCCCGATGATTCTGCACCGGCTACCGAAGAAGTTTTCCGGATTCGTAATCGCCCTCTGTCCTCTGTGGTGTTCGTTGCTATTACTTCCCGATGATTTTGCGCCGACGGCACCGGCTACCGAAGGAACTTTCCGAATTCGTAACTGCCTTAAATTCCTTCGTAATCACGACGGGGACACTGTCTGCCGTGCTGTTCGTCGCCATTGCTCCCCGATGCTCCTGCGGCGGCTACCGGTAGGTCGCGGCGAACAATAGGCGACCGCCGCGACACGGCCGGCATGCTCGCTTCCTATTGAAATCACAGTCCACTCGGTTAGGGTTAGGAGGGACGCCGGTGAGAGTCTAGCCTCAAACTCAGTGACTGGGCTCACAAACGGTTTTTTGCCCCTGGGGTCGAGTGTTTTTTGGAAAGGCCGCGCGAGGTGGAGTGGTTAAGGAGGTAATAGAGAGTTTGAACTGCCCCTTTTCCCAATTTTATACAATCCCTATGGTCCCTAGCTTTCACTGCTACTAAAACATACCATTCCCTTTCTCTAAATCACAAATCGGATGGCCCAAACTGGAAACCAAAAGAGTGGCTTTTGCAGTGATCGTACAACGGACAACCTGTTGCCCTGAATCAACCTTAAAGGGGCGGTGCAATGATTTTAACACTGAACGAATGTGCACCTTGTATTTTTTATATTGTTTACTTCGGCATAAGTAAGAGAAAAAGTGCCACCATACCCCAAAATACCTCTATTTCGCTGCTTTTTTTCCCAACCTGCGGCCACATGGTGGCCGCAAATGGAACCTGTGGTGTGACGTCATTCGGAGTGGTTTTTGTAAGTGATAGTGTTAGGCAATGGTAAGCTTGATTTAAGGTTAAGTTTCAAAAATCTTGTTGTTTAGGCATGCAGAAACGCTTCAAAAGCCTAGTATTGCCGCTAAAAGGGTATGAATTATTTGTGGCGCCATCTACCGCAAGTCAACAAAACCTGCCGTCGCTGTCATCCGTCGACGCCCGAGGCGCCTACGGCGGCTACACGAGCAACCCGGACGTTTTGTCTTTCCCTCGCTCGACGGAGTGCGTTGGTCGCTGTCCGTTGTATCGTGGTATCGTTATTGTTCCTGGTGTCTCGACCTCGACTTCGACTTCGACTGCCCGCCGCGTCGCAAGCATCTTGCGCTCGACGTCGCTCAGGCCGTCCGCCCATGCCGCCATGTTGGTCGGGAATCGGCGGGAGAGCGGCGAGCCTGGCGAGCCCACGAGCGCTGGGGAAACGGAAGCCAGAAGCACCCAACCGGAAACCAACGCCACTCCGAATGACGTCACAGGCGAAGCTGGTGCCGCTTCAATGTTGAGTTGAGGGGTGCCAGAGATACCAATTTCTTTTATTTTTTTTAATGAAAACTAGGGCAAGCAGGAAAGAATAGTTTTCGGTCCTTCGTTTTATATGTGGCCGGGATCGATTCCCGCAATTAATTAGCCAAAGTCCGCAAATTGTTGCACCGCCCCTTTAAAGAGACAAGCGGCAATACCCCTTCTGACAACGGTCCGAGATTTGAAAGATAATTATGGTGGAATTTTCCCAAGACCATTGGCTCTGTGCTAATAAAGCTGAAAACCGAAATTTTACCGGCGGGTGTTTTTCGGAGTTTTTCGGATTTATCCGAAGACACGGAGCCCTAATTAGATATTTACATCTTGAGTCAATGTTCACTATGTCGTTAATATACAGTAAAAAAATAAGTGGTCCCCAGATACTCCCTTGCGGTACTCCTGATGAAATGCTTAAAAGGGTTGAGCGTTGGTCATTGATTAGAACAGGCAGAGAGCGATATTGTAGATATGATTCAATGAAGTCAAGTGGAAGATCACGAATACCATAAACAAGCAAGTTTTCTAGTAAAATCGCGTGATTAATACAGTCAAAAACTTTACTAAAGTCTAAAAATATTCCAACCGTTATTTTGTTTTTCTTCGAAGTTTTTAAGTATTTCCTCTTTTTTAACTAATAACGCTGTTTCTGTTGATTGTTTTTGCCGAAAGCCAAATTGGCATTCTGTTATTAGGGAGTGTTTATCACAAAAATTAGCAATTCGAGAGTAAATTATTTTTTTTAAACCTTTTGAAAACACCGGTAGAATGAATATAGGTCGGTAATTTCCTCATTCATTTTTGTTTCCGCCTTTAAACAAAGCTAAAACGTTCCCAATTTGCATCTTTTTGGGGGGAATGTACCGGATGACCTAGCAAGATTGTTAGTAAATAATTCTAAATACGCAGGTCATCGAGTTTATGCGAAACCCCAAGCCCCTAAAAGCCTACGTGTCGCCAGACTGCTCCGACAAGCAGCTCCCGACCTGCGTTCCTCACACCTGCGTCTACGACAAGACGATCCTTGACGGACAGCGAATCATGCACTCCTGTACTGCATGTCCTCCGAGCTATCCTTGGCTCAACAATACCCGAGGCTCACCATCGAAATCGACCACGACTACTTCATGGCAATAAAGGCGATTCGAAAACAGACGAGTTTCTATCGCGACATGACGCGCGAATCAAGTCACTGGTCCCAGGATACGTACGTACGGTACGTACACACTTCGGTCCGACCAAAGTTGTGCACCGCTTAAAGAGGTACTCCGGCGATTTTTTTAGCTACCCGAACTAACTATATTTTCGAAAACACCGAACTTTACACTTTCCGGTATGCTATTTAGTGATCGCAAAATTCTGAATAGTTACCGTGAAATCGGTAAGTGAAAATGATTTATAATGTAATTAAATGCAAAGGTGTAAGCGAGCTGGACAAGAATGACGAAAATAATCCCTAGAGAAAGGGAACAAGAGAGACAAAGGATAAACACAGCTGTGTTTGGAGATTTACTTACTTACTAAAGAAAAGTAATGAATTACAAGTAATCGCGTTACTTGTGACGGAATACACACAAGCCTGGTTCACGGCCACCCAAGCCAGGACGAGGGATGTCGCGAACCAGCCCAGGTTCGAGTTCGACCAAGTTCGACCTTTTCGAACTTTCAACGTGATGTTCGACAGAGGTTCGACTGTAGTTCGCCTTTTGTGCGCATGCGCGAAAACAAAACAAAAAAAAAATAAATAAAACAATTGACTTCACTTGGCGGAGGAAAAGAGCAATATTTGTTGGGTGTATTGGCATCACTGGTTTACATTTCTAACTTGCGAATGCATTAAAGGGATACTGAACCGAAAATCGAATTTCAGAAAACAACGCGGAATCGATAGGCAGGACGCTACAGATCCCAAAACGTCACTCATAAAGTGGTATCTCCAACGGATCGTCGTATTTTTTGTAAAAGACGAGCGCGCTCGCACAAGGCCGCGTGACCTCGCGATTTTCATTTCCTCCTCTTTTCCCTTTGACTCCGCGAGGGCGCGGAGAGGAAAGGGGAGCGAGGCCATTTCTCCTCCTTCTCAACTTTTCTGCGATAAGACGACGTCAACATTCTCCCTCATTCGCTCCTTTAATTTCCAGAAATACGGCCATCCGCTCGAGATATGGGGCTACATGAGTGATGCTCCGTGGTTCATGGCGCCCTGTTGAACACTTCTGCAAGCTTATTTTGTGAAATCCGAATTTCAGTTCAGCATCCCTCTAGAAGCGCACATTTTCGCTTTTATATATGTAAACATTAGGAACCATTTTATAAAATATAGAATAAACTACTTTCTAAATTATTTGTTTCCCGGAATTCGAAATATTCGTGTAGAAGCCGGGCAATACTGTCCATAAGTCAAATTTCTTCCGAACTTCAGTGAAAGGTTGAAGGTTCGGCGACCCTGTCGAACCCATAGAGTCATTACAATAAACGCTAGAGGCTCAGCTGGCGCTAGTGTCTACGGGACTACCGGTTGCAATTGAAGCGGAATGGAAAGCGGAAGTCCAAAAACGCGTTTTAGTAGACCGTTTTTCTTCAGCGTAAGAACGTTTCCAGAGCGTTCGAAAAATTCCCTTGCGTAGCCCCACAAGTAAACGTTTATAGCACTATACTCTGTCTTATACTTAGCGTACAACGCTGTCAAACCTACTTGCGCGAGCGCGTGGCGTCATCTGTGGCTTTGTTTGCACGAGAACGCGTGCAAAGGATCAACGAGATGAAGCCCCATGCTCGCGCCAATAGCTTTGACAGCGTTGCACACTAAGTATGAAACAGAGTATAGTAAGACACACAAAAAAACAACTAAACGTTAACACCAAAGAAGTGAAAGGGAGCGTGTTTGTAGAAGCAGTAAAAAGGAAGGCGAGAATAATAAACACAAAAGAGTAGGCACACGCCCGAAAAATATTATGCTATAAAAGATAAATATAATCGTTTCACCTTGTGTGCGAGTGAAACCGAAGGTATAAGCACGAGCATGTTGCTCTAAACGGTACTTGCACTGCACGAGCGCGCGTGCTGGTGAAGGACGCTGAAAGGCCTTCACTCGCTCCTGTAGCTTCTGCTCCACTCAGTTAAAAATGAAACGGATTTACGTACTCGAAGTAGAAAAATGAAAGAAAAGGACGAAGTTTACGCATTGCGAGCACACTTTTTTGCGAAGTACGAGTACAGTGTTGCTCAAGGCTAGCAAGGCACATGCACGATGAATCCCCGCTGTTCTCAAGGAGGGAGACTTCTACTAACGAGATTAAGGTGGCAAGACATCAAATTTATGATTTGTGTCACATATGCCATGAAGCGCCGAAGCTTCCTTTCCGAACGCGGTCTGCTGGACATTGCCAACGTAGATGAAAAATCCTTCAGGATGCAATCCCGCTTTCAGAAGGACCTGGCTGCTCTGCAAGCGGGCCTCCAATTGGAGGCCCGCTTGCAAAGAGAAAACGTATTTCCGGTTTACGGACATGTGGAAAGCGATGGAGCTTAAAGATATTTCAGCCGCTCTCGCCTTGCCTGATTCCATGCAAGCTACATAGGTCCTCCGACGGTATTCGACGCTTTCTGTCGTTATTCGTGCACCCTATCACCGAGCAATGGTGTCCCAATAACCGGGGGACTGTCGCCATCGCGTGTATTCTCTATAGGGCTTGGAGGAGCGAGTTTAAAACAGTGAAGAAAGCGCGAACGAAGTTCCGGCACTGTAGACATCCAACACAGGCCAAGCCTCTCATCCGGGACTTTCACTCTTTCTACACACCCAGCGAGGGGGAAAGTCACCGGTAGCCCTTTCCCCTTTCCTCTCTCGCTCTCAAAATGGCGCTACCCATTTGACCATAGAGAATAGAAGGGTAGGAGAGGGCATGACGTCAGCCGCGTAGCCTCCACAAGCCATGCTCCCTTGACGACTCGCGTCTTTCTCATTTTCTTCCTTACTCTCCACACTTATCAGCCCAACATGACCACATCACGTGACTGTAACTAGCTTTCGATCTGATAAAACCTACCGGACGGAGCGCGCGCAAGCCTGCAAGGAATCCTTCTACAATCAACCATCCATCTCGCTCGCACGTGACATGTCACGCGCACCAATCGCCAGAGAGATCTGCGGTCACGTTGGGCACAATATCGTTTACACTTTTTATGACTAGGCTTCACCAATATGGCAACGTCCTAGTACTTATAACCTCGCTGACCCACGATAAAACGGACTTGCGTCGCGGTGACGTTTCGGCGGGATGCCGAAATCCGCAGTTACCCTAAAACGTAGAGGAAAAAAAAACAAAAAACAAAAAAACGTACAGTACAACGAAGTGCCGAAATGTCGCTTTCGTGACGTCACCGGTGACCCTCGTGACGTTACGAGGCTGACGAGTGATGCAACGACGGTCCCGCGCGTTGCGTTATGGGACGTTTCCCATAATGCACCGCGCGGTTACGCCTACGCCGATGGCGACGCCGCTCAAGCCGGAAACGGGCGCCTAGGAGCTGCGCTCTAAAATAACGGCTTTAATATCCACCACACGTTCACACGTAAATCTTTGAAGTACTATCGCTGACAATATGAGCTGAAACAGCGCTCCGGCCTGTGCAGGGTACAAACTGCGCCGCCTGTCGCATCGCTCCGCAAACACGGAGCACCCTAAGGCCGAAATAAACTCTCACTTCCGCTCACTGCGCCGCTGATCTCTTCCGGCCGTCTGCTAGCGAAAATATTCACCAACGGAGCCAACATCACGATGCGTGTGCCGTGCAGCCCACTGTTCACGTTTCCAGCTAACATGCATTTCAGTGCATTTCAAGAAAGCGCTGAAGTGGAAAATGCGTTGTCACGCTCGTATCTCCTCGAGGAGCGCTGCCAGACGGAGCTGCCTTGGCCCCCAAAAGGTGCCGATCTGAATATCATCGAACACGTTTGGAGGCGCATCAAGCTAGCCATGTCACTGCGTCCCCTCTACAGCGCAACTGCCGACGAATTGTGGGAAGCGGTGAGACGTGAATCGGGGCTTCGGGCCGAGCCAGACTTCGTGGCCGCGCTCTATGATTCCTTACCAGAGAGGATAAGAGCCGTGGTCGCGGGTTAGGGAAGAATGACGCGGTATTAACTTCTTTCATAAGTTTTACTGCGCCTCGGGACCCCCTGAACCGGACTTCTGCCGATGGGAACAAAGCTTGCTGCTACTGTTGCGACACACTGTTTGATGCCGTTAACCAGCACATATTTTTGTGTAATGCATTCATGATGCTAACCTTCTTGTATGGTGCAATTGAACTTCCACGCCGACTAATAATCTTTGGTGTCTGACATTGTCCTCTGCAATTTTTTTTTCGATGAAGTTTCAAGCTCCGTCTCCTTGCAAATATATGATGGTCACACTTTATTAAGACTAGGATTTTGTAAATAAAACTCTGGTGCCTTGTCAGGAACTTGTTTTGCTTGAAGCAAATATGTGGGCCCAGTAATAAACAAATACTATTTTTGAACATTTTTACACAAATTAAGGTTACAAAACCTTTGCAGTAACATGGACGGTTACCGTTTTTTTTTTCTTCTTTTTTTAAACAACTGTGCTCAATGAGAGAGAAAAAAAAAGTAAATACCTTGGAGCCGGCCTAAATCCGGTATACAGATTTTGTCCTATATATTACGATGTCCTACTTTGTGCATGCCCTTAAATCAAAGAAAAACAACCGGAAATGTATTTTGATGTGACTTTCAAAAACGATAATCGCAGCTGCCATTTAAGATACCTAAACATTTTTTTCATTACCAGTGAGTGATTTTTCTACGCAATTCTACGCGATAGAATGAAGTAAAATAGGGACGACAACTGTAATCCCCCCCTGCACACACGCCCGTTGTCGCACACGTCGTTTCGCCAGCAGACGGCCAGAAGAGCGCAGTGGCGCAGCGAGCGCAAGTGTTAATTTATCTCGGCCTCAGGGCTCAGGGTGTGCCGTGTGTACGGAGCAAGGCGACAGGCAGCGCAGGTAGTACAGTGCGCCGGTCAGAGCGCTGTGGATCAGCTGATCGGAAGTGTTGTCTTGAAATTCTTACCCTTTAGGGTGTGCTCCAGAGTTTTGTCCAAATGGATCCGAGTTACTCCGGCGGATCGTATCACGTGACAGCGCAGAAGGAAAAACGCTGGACGCGGGTCACACGCCTCCGAAATGGCACGCACATGGAAGGGACCCAGGATGTCACGCACGTAAAGAACACACGAAAGAAATAACTCAGCCGTTTTCACCACCTCAGAGGTTCTACATAGTAGTAGTAGGCCTCCTCGACATAGCCAAATACAAAAACAGCCCGCTTCGTTCAAATGACGGTGACGTCTTCAACTTGGCATTATTTCCTAATACCGTAATACGGCTTTGGAATCTATGCAGCAGTTTATGCTTGAACTTCTGACACAAACACAGAACATCAGGGAAGTTCACGGTATTTCAGACCGCAAACGATCAAAACACAACGGTCTATGTGCATGTCTCGGAGCTTGCTTGCCTTGGTGCCGAACGTCGAAAACCGCCAAAATTACGAAGGCCCAGCGGGCGTGAATTTACCTCAGATGTCCCAGGAAATGTTGCCTCAATCCAGACATTATCACACTGACCACAGTCGTTCGTAATACACTTTGTGAACCCGAACAAAAAACGAGTTGTTTCACGGCGTATCCAAGGGTACGGAGGCCAGTCAGACCGAACGGGTCGGGCGGGCTGCGACACGAGCGACGCTATGCGGCAGAGAATGACAGCGCGTCACTTTTTCCTGGGAGTTTGTCAACTATCCAGGCTGCTCCCGTCTGTGCCACTCCCTCACCTGCAGCGCCTGCAGCCTGCAAGTAGGCTGCGGGCAATGGCTGCGGGGCTGCGGGGTCGCGGACGTCGCGGATTTCAGATGACGCACATCCGGCTCGTGATCTCGCCGGAATCCACACTGGTGAATTTCCGCCGCCATTGCCGCGTGTGTTTTTGTTCACTTGCGCTGTGTTTACCTTGTAGTCCGCCCGTTCACTCGGACGCAAAAATGGTGTATTGCGCTGTAAGGAACTGTCGTAGTCGTAGTGTTCGACGGGATGGACCCGCGACCAGCGGAACTCGTTTTTTCCGAATTCCGTCCATTATTAAGGGCCAGGACAAGACAACGTACGAGCGGACGGTTCTGCGGCGTCAGGAATGGCTCCGACGGATACGCCGGAACGATCTCGGCGAAAGAGCTGCGGAGCAAAGGATTTGTGGTCGACACTTCGTGTCAGGTGGGGAACTTTGCGACTGATTGGAGGTATCAAAACCGGTCCCGTTGACGGGGGTGCCCCTTTAGCGCTGTACTCGCTGAATGAACGACAGGGCATCTCTTCTGAACGCTCGGTTGGCGCCGCGTCCTCATCCCGTCGCAGTATACACACCCCCTACCAAACTTCCGTGGCGCAAACAGCGCAAATGCGTTAAAATACCGGGCGTTCATGAGAAAAAGAAAAACAAACGTTTTTCAGCTGGTGTGGCAAAAAGCTCCAACTTCGTGAGAATACGACGCTAGAGGTGGGATAGAACGTGAAATTTTGCGAACGTGACGTTACCTGGATCAAAGGATGATTGAGCCGACTTCCATCGAAGTCCTTATATCGTCAAATCAGGAACTGAGATTGTGGTTGCATGTGGCATTTATGTCGGTGAAAATGTTTGTCAGCAAGAAAAAAAAATCAATATTTTTGTCTCTTGCTGACAATACATATTTTTTTTTCGTTCATTGAAATATATGTTACAGGCATTCACGATGTAATTTCTTGTTTTGACAATAAGGTTCAGTGGACGTCGGCTTGTAGAGAAATTTAGACTCCATCAATTATCATTCATTCAGGTAATGTCATGTTCTCAAACGTTCACGTTCCATCCCAACCGTTTGCGACACATTCTCACGGAATTTCAACTTACTGTGATGTAGTTTATTGATGCGGGCCAAAAAACATGGTTCTCATTTCTTGCAAACGCCCCGGTACTTTAACGTGTGCATTTCTTTTATTTAACCCTTTGATGCTAGCAACGAATTCTCACGGAATTTGAGCTTTCTGCGATGCATAGTTTTTTGTGCGGGCTGAAAGACGTGGTTCTCTTTTCTTACGAACGCCCCAGTATTTTAATATGCGCATTTATTTTAAAGCCTTCTATGCTAGTGATGCATTCTCACAGGACTTGAGCTTTCTCCAATGCATAGTTTATTTATACGGGCCGAAAAACATGGTTCACTTTTTTAGAAACGTCCGGCACCTTACGGTGTATTAACGGAAAAATAAAATAGTGCCGAAAAACCGAGGACAAGAAGTGTACCAACAAGCATTATAAATGAAAAAAAAACAAAAACAAGTCACAGTTCTTGCACATGTCAAACTTGTTCAAGATTGGAACTCTTTGCCCCTAATTCTGCGAAAACTGGGAACCATCGCAGACAATGTATGTAGACTTGAAATAAAAACACAGCGTTGACAATTTTTTAGAGGTTGTGATTTTATGTCAAGTCAACGTATGCTGTCTACAATGGTTCCCAGTTTTCGCAGAAGCAGAGTGTGTGTATTGGGGTCGAGCGTTGCCCCTGTGCTGAGCGACATTTTTCTTTCAAGTTGCGATAGAGGCATCGCAAGCGAGCTTGGTGGTGATGTGATCCGGGTGTTTAGGTACATCCATAATTACCTGGTACTGTTCCGGAAAAAAGGCTCTATTCATAGTAGAAGGGTTTTTATTGAAAGTATGCTATTGGTGTTTAAATCACATTCCTGTGGGTTGAACTTCAGAAGAGAAAACCCAGTAGATCGTTGTATACAGTTTTCCAGCGAAGCTATATATGACTCGTTGGCGGGGTTTTTTTTGTGTCCGTTGACAGAAAACCGTCGCGCGTGCCTTACCACTGTTCGCGCACGTTATCATTTGGTCTTGTGGGAACGATGATAAGCCATTAGTCCTCCCCGCATGCGTTTCTCAGTAAAGATTGCGGTTGCATAAGCTGCAGCAGGAACGGCAGAGTATGAAGTTTTCCATATATAAAAAAACCCGCCTAGCAACTAATTTTATTGTTGTTGCAACGGTGCTATGGGTAGGCCACGCACAATTAGGACTTCGAAGAGCAGCGTGAATACGATGAGCGACGAAGCGAACAGCAACGTCAGTATGCTCAACGGCGTCGTGCTCAGGCTAGGCAGCATCCAGTGCTCAGGCAAGCGCAGCAAGACAATCCAGAACTTCACGAAGCGGAGAACACAGCCAAAAGATGCAAGTACCATGAAAACAAACTTGAAAACTTTAGCGGAGCAAATGCTAAACTTAAGAGAATTTCTTGATCAAGAATTTGAATTTAGTTGTGCTGAGTGTGATTGATTGTGGTGCGATAGCGATTTGACCCCAATTGCAAATGTCAGAGATGAAACAAAGAAAGCAGCAGCAATTGAAATGTAGTGCAACATCATGGAGCGCCAGTGGTTCTTTTGGCACCTTCGAAGTTTGTGCTAAAGTCGACAGGAGTAGTGTTAATAGTCCTGCATGTGGAAAGGACCACAGGGTAATGCACGTGTCGTGCACTGTCGGTGTAATTTACAATATTAAATTGTCCTGTGGCAATGTTTACATCGGACAGATCAGTAGATGTGTGAACGAGAAGTTAAGCATGCTCTATTGGTTAGATCAGTGGTTCTCATATGGGGGTCCGCGAAAGCATTCGAGGGGTTTGCGAAGCTTTTCCTCATCAGTCAAGTACGGCAATGAAAGTTGTATTTTTCAGATTAATAAGAAGCGTTCCAATTTTCGGGTGAGTTTTTTCGTGTGTATGTTATTAAGAAACGTCTATTTCACATTATTCCTTAGCTGTATTCATTTATTAAATCAATATCATAATTAACCTATGCCTTTCTTTTACCCTCACCACAAACAGGGTCCTCCCTCATATCCGCCGATCCACAAGGGGTCCACGAAACATCATTGGTTGAGAACCACTGGGTTAGATCATCGCCAGCAGGCAACTTGGCAGTACGCTGTAATGGGTGCAGGTGCAAACCCATTCTTGATAAAACGAGTATCTTGGGACGACACAGTTAACAAATGACTAAAGAAATTTTAGAAGCCTTTTAAATTTTGAAGCAAAAGGATAGGTGCTTCAGTTCGCCTTGTATAGCATTATTTGACAAAGAGCTGGCATTTTTGAGCGGGTTTGACACGTGCAAAGGGCGGTGACTTGGATGTTTTTTTATGATTTGTGATGTTTGTTGATTTGTGTATTTTTCCAAGAAATTAGTTGAGAGTCAGCGCTTTGTTTGTACACTACGTCTTCTTGTCCTTGGTTTTTTGGCGCTGTTTTACTTCTCCGCTAATCATGTACCACCAACTCGCCCAGCTTTCCACCATTTTACAGTGTGCTTTTAATTTAAAGCATTCATACGCTCTGTGTGAGAGAAATTTTGTTTTATCGCAGGCAAGCCTTCTTATCTGCACTGCGTCGATGATCAGGATTGGGCACCCAGTCAGAACCTTGGGTACCCAAACACCTATGGGCGCAGTGACCGCATCGCCCGGCATCAACGAGCCATGCAAAGGGCCAAGGCTCGGGGTGACCGGCAGCGTGAACTCCTACAACGGCAGGAGGTGCCGGGTGTCATGGAGGGTGCAATACCAGCGGTCATTCATATAGGTATGAGCATGCCTCAAAGACTGCAGTTCCACATCATTTGCGTTCGTGCACGGGGATTAAATCATAATTGAGTGTCCATTCCAAAACCTCTTCCCGACAGTGCCAGAGCTGCCATCACCATTGCCACAGCCACCATCACCACCTCAAGCCCAGGATATTGCTGTCAAGAGTGAACCGGGTAAACTCTCTTTCATGCTCAAACAATTGTAAAGTTGGCAGCGTTTTAAATCGGGTCCGCGGAAACTCGGGTCTTTTGGCCACGTGTGACACCCTCTGCGAGTGGCGTAGCCAGGAATTTTTTGCGGGGGAGCTGGGGCAGGCTTGGACGTCCATGACATGTGCGTGGAGGGAGCGATGGGGGGAAGGGAAGGTTCAAAATGCATATGTATATAATAGGATCTGCTAAGGGGGGGGGGGGGGGGGGGACTGAAGGTATATTTGTTGTTTCTCGCATCTTTGCCTACGTTTCTGGCAATTGGCCTGCATGCTTGAGTTTCAATGAAGGTAGATAATGATATAAGCAATGATAGAAAGGACAGGCAAAAAGGTAGATTGACAAACATGCGTTTGCAAAGACCGTGAAATAAGATTTTTTTCAACCAACATAAGAAGAGGTTCAACATGAGCAAATGTGACCCACCAGTGTCCAGGTGAAATTGATGGTAACCAAAAAGTATAAAGTACTCATCGAGCACTCATTTGAGCGAAAGGACATACCCTCACTGCTATAATTCACACACTTTGAACGTATTTGGACATATACGCTACCTACAGGGTGTCCCCCCTGAAATATTTTACAGAGTATTTTACACCGCAAAAACAAGCAATGTATCGCTAAATGCTCGTACTTCGCCCAAAAGTAGCACTAGCAATTCGAACCAGATGCCAAAGTTTTAGAACTAACCGTAATCTTATTCAAAAGTTGTGATTTTCTGAAATTTTGAGTTGAAAAATAGTGGTTGATGGAGCTCTCAAATGCATGGAGCTGGTTATTGAAAATGGGCAAAAATGGGCCCCATTTTTCTATTGAAATTTTGAGAAAATCACTTAAAACTTTTGAATGAGATTGCATTTGGTTCTGAAATTTTTATATCTGGCTCAAACTGCTGAGCACCACATTTGGGTGGAGAATGAGCGTTCAATGATGCATAGTTCATTTTTGCAGTAAAAGAAACACTGTAATCTTTTTTTCTTGGGGCGGGGGGGGGGGGGGTGCTATAGTATATATTTGGAAATTGGCCAAATAAGCATTCCTGAAAATTAGTTGTGTATACAACAAGAAGGAAATGGCAGGAAGAAAAGAGACGGCATTGGACTGTGCTGGGCAGTATTGCAGACGAACACCTTGCTGAGGTGGAATGCTGGGGTTGGCGATGTGTGTGCTGTGCCCCGTCTTGTCTTATGAGGTACTGCAGCCTATGCTACGAGCATTGAGAGCCAATCCATTAGCGTGTCACACGGCCTTCTGGCTGAGCAAACTGACTTGTTGAGTGCATGTGACACGTGTGGAAAACTTGATTGGCTTGCACTGCTCCTAGCAATAATTGCTGTGCATCGTAAGGTGAAACGAAGTATAGTTATTGTTTTGGCCTTGGTACCTTAGGAACGATCTTCAAAGTCAGAAAGGAGAGTGCATTTCTTCTGTCGGCGAATTCAAGTATCAAACATTGTGAACAGTGCAGTGCACTTCTGGTGCCAAAACACAGCAAAGATAAGACCGGATCTTTTCAGATGTTCTGGCCCATACCAGAAATAAAAATGTCAGAGTGCCACAGCAATGCACCTCTTTGCCTTGGACTAAAGAGGTTCAGAAAGCACTCCCACTTTGCAATCTATTACTATATATTGCATAGTGGGATTGTATCAAGTTAAAAAATGACTACTGTCATTGAAGCCAACCAGACTTCCTTTCAGGCACATGAATACCTGATCCGACAGCCGAAAAACTCTTAAAGAAATCAAACCAGTGCCCCTCCCCATTTTTCAGAGCACATATCAATAACCGACAAGCTGCTCTGTGGGATTCTGAAGTCTGGCGCTTGGCTCTCCTTGTGGCAACGCGAAAGAACATGTTGCCACTGACACTTTTGGTCACTCACCCAAAAAGCATCGGGCCTCATTTTACCAGTTGAAACTAGAGTGATGCGGGAAGAGATACGAGTACTATACTCGCGGACAACTTTCTGTAGCATTTCAGTAGAGAAGTGTGTGCATGTACGGCTTTAATCGGTGCCGAAGGTGCTCGAGTGCCTGCGCCCATGGGTTTACTGCGCAGCTGCAGAAGAGTGTCCACGAGTATATCATGAACTAGTTCATGCGCATGTACCGCCAATGCAAAGAAGTCTTCGTTGGGTCTCCATCATGCACAGGGAGATGTGAATATTGAGTTACTTTGTCACAGTGGGATAGATCGGTACTTTTTAGTGAAGGTCGTATTCTATACGTTTGTAACACGGGACAAGTTCACCGCTGGCCGAGTGTTTGTGCAGCGTAGCTTGGAGCACATGGAGGGATAGCATGTGCTGCAGAACCCAGCGTCTTGTGTTCTAACCCTGCCCCTGCCCGTTTTGAACTGGATGAGCACTATACTGCGGACTTTCGTCTAATCCACTTCATAATGCATGTTAAAGGGACACTGACAGGGTATTTGTGCTCGCCAAGGTTTTTATTTGTACGTGGCATAGCAGAACCCAATTACCCAGAACACAATTTGCGGCTCGAAATTTGTTTTTTCCGCTAGAAATCACCGATCGAGAACTGGCCGATTTGAGTTGCGCTCCCTCTCTTCTCTGTGTTCACGCGCCGTTTTCTATTGTTTAGACACAACCACCAAGTATAATCAAAGTCTTGGGTCATCGAAGGCACACACTTAGTACTGAAAATAGAAAAAAATATGATACCCATTTTTTGTGGCTTCTAAAAAGTTGCGAATACGTTGACTGATGAAAAAATAAGTTGCATAGCCATGTGACTTGTGCCAACTTTCTCCTCCTCTATATTTATTCCTCCCCAGTCCAGTTTCAATTTAGAGCAGTTGCATTTCTTGACTTTATTAAAAATATATGTGATGCTGTAGCAAAATATTGATTGGGTAGTCCTCCGACACCATAATGAATCGCCTGGCAAAAAATAAAGCAAAAATTTTGGGGAGTGTCGGTGTCCCTTTACACAGCAGAGGCTAGCGGTCGTACTGCACTGGCTAAATTTATCATCTGGTTGTAAACCAGTCTTGCCATGCTTCAAAGTATTCGACCTTACCCTGTCTAAACATAAACGCCTACTTTGCTTTCTTTTACAGGCTCATCGGTTGATATTAAGCATACCTCAGAGGAACAGAAAGCAAGCGAGCAAGCTCTCTATACTATAAGTCCGTATGCAAAGCCACATGGTAAGTGGTTGAATTGCGATGCTGCTTTCATTCAAGGCGAAATCTTTCAATACCCTGATTAGCTGAGAGAATTGTTACCCAAACTGCAAAGTTGACAGAGAATATGAGACTGCTTTTCTCACCTTTATTCTAAACAATGTGAGTGTGAAGCTTGTGTCATGCAGAAATGTTTATTAACAATCTTTTAGGCACAAAATCCCATCTCGTCCTAACGAATATCCCAAGAAGCAAAATCCTTAATGTATAGTGCACACCCGTGGATAGTTCTTAACGCATAAAGTTTAATGTTTTAGATACGTATAGTCAGGAAAATAAGGCACTCCGTAATACCAACTTCGTGTCGCTCGCAGACGTCTCTTGCCAGACTGAACTGGACATGCGGCTTCTACGGGCCTTCGAAGCCGACCACGCAGCGCTGCAGGAGGAAGTCCGTAGACTCCGCGAAAAGGTTCCGGCCGCCACAGACAGCGAAGGGGCGTTTAACAAAAGCGACGAGTGCGTGTCGTCCTCCACCGGCCTGCCCACCTTTTCCGTCCTCTCGGCCCTCTTCTCCCTGGCGTCTCCCCTCGTGAGGCATACGGCAAACAGCAGCCTGTCCCTCTTCCAAGAGATGCTGCTCTTCTTCAGGAAGCTGAGGTTCAACAGCCCGCTGCAGGAGCTGGCCCGCAGGTACGGCGTGTCGCAGGCAACGGCGTCGAGGATCTTCAACCGCTGGCTGGATGTCTTCTTCGTCGTGGCCGGAGACCTGGTCCACTGGCCCAACGCTTGGTCCCTCAGGCAGACGGTGCCGATGGCCTTCCGCGACTGCTTTGGCACGAGGGTCCCCATAATCCTCGACTGTTTCGAAATCGTCCTCAACTCCCCATCGTGTCAGATCGCGCGAGCGTCCACGCTGTCGCCCCGTACTAAGCGCAATGCTGCAAAATACCTTGTCGGCATTGTGCCTCAGGGAGTGGCGACGTTCGTGTCCAAAGGTTACGGCGGCGGTGTCAGCAACGAGGCGCTGATGGAGCACTGTGGCATCTTGGGTCGGCTCGAACCGGGAGACCTGGTGCTTGTGGACGGCGGGTTCATGGCTGCTCGGGGCGCGGGTCTCCAGTGCGCGGAGCTGGTGCTGAACGAGGGTCGAAAGCAGCTCTCGTGCAGGGACGTGGAAAGCACCGAGGAATTTTCGGACGTCTGTGCTCACGTGGAGAGGCTGATTGGATCGGTGAGGGACAAGTATTCGATTTTGGCCAGCCAGATTCCAATCGAGTTTGTGACTACGAGCGAGAATGCGACGGTCACCACGCTTGACAAATTGGTCGTTGTCTGCTGTGCTTTCTGCAATCTCTGTCCCTCAATTATGCCTTTTGAGCAATACATTCTTTAAAAAGTCACTCGGGCCCAAACTTGTTTTGCGTTCGACATCGTGCAAGTGTGTGTACTCGAGCCATGTCGCCACTAAAAACAAAAATCAAATGTCTTCGTGAAACCGCATTCAAAAACTACCGTAGAATACCGTGCATCCACCCATTCCACATTAAGCACCCACCCCTAAAATTTGAAACATCTGAAAACTTATGCAAAGTACATATATATGTAAAATTTATGATCTCACATGCACCCATTCCTGTTTTTTCGTGATCATCTTCATATTTTGAGTGGGCGCCTGCTCGGTATTTTATGGTAGGCATTTTACCGATGATATTTTTATTTCATCCCCAAGGAAGAAATCTTGGGGGTTCTTTTGACGCTGTCAGTGTCATGCTCGACTATATGTGCTAAACCATGCATTTTCTGGGGGGTTCTGTTGTTTTGAGTTTCCCCAGTCTTGGCTCTTCAAAATGTTTGCCTACACGCCTCGAAAGATTGACATTGGGAACTTAAAAAATGTGCAAATCAGCGGTTGAAGCTTACTACGGAGCATTTAGGAAAGTGACATAGCATTTTACAAAATTTCCCCGGGATCAGCCCAGCTTAAAGCCAGAAGCTGAAGGGGAGAGGATTATCACTTATAAACAGAAACAGCCTTTTGATGTCTCCAACGAAATACATAGCTTTTTAAAGTGTTTCTAATAAATTATGGTTGCCACAGCTGCCGAGTCTCATTCTGTTTCCTAGGATACAAAGGCAAGTGGGTTGCAGTGAAGGGGCATCTAGGTTCATGGAAATTACAGTTGGGCAAATAATAATCGATGCTCTGACCTACACTCAACCAAGGCACTGCACGGCAGTGCACGCAGCACCTCTGCTTTTGTTAGATGCCAAATTATTTGGTTATTGTCTAAGACTAACAGCATGCATGTACCCAAGACTAGGGTTCCCAAACTTCGAAATTTCATGGACATTAAATTTCATGGGACTCCATGCACATTTCTTTCCCATCGCTTTATCATGGTGACATTCATTCCTTTCACACAATTGTCCTCTTGTATGTCTTCTTGCTATTCATCATAACTTTGCCCTCTGTTCCTTCGAGTTTTGTTGCACTAATGCTCCAATAAACATAGGGTGTCTCAGCAAAGGCTTTCGAAAATCCCTAAAGATAGGGTGGTCGAGGGAGAGAGAAACTCTTTTTGGTAACAAATTGGCAGCCACAGTGGACATCAAGCGTTGCAAGGAAAAGCACATACTAATTAGAGAATTTACTAAGTAACATTTTAATGTGAAAAAAACAACAAAAAAAAAACATATAGTTCCAATGAGAAACTTGTTAAAGGGATATTGAACCGAAATTTCGAGCTGCACACCTGTACAGATACGCGGGATGCTGCAAAACCCAAAAACACTCATACAGCAATATTTCTAACGGATCGCCATATTTTTGGAAAAGAAGTGTGCGATTGAACACGGCCGACGAGACAAGTCGCGTCACGATTCTCATTCCCTCTCCTCCTCACTATGTCCCGTCTAGCAGGTGAACTGAAGCGAGCCCGCTTCCCCTCATTCTCAAATGTTCCAAGAGGACAATGGCGTCATAACCCTCGCTTCATCACGCCCTTCTTTTCCAAAAGTACCGCCATCTGTTCGAGATATAGATATATGAGTGATGTTTTGCAGTTTGTAGCATCCCAATCAACGCTTCTGTCGCCTTGTATTACGAAATCCAAATTTCAGTTCAGTATCCCTTTAAAGGCCGACGACAAGACTTGAGATTCTACAAGGCAGAAGATCCTCCTTGTCGTGCTGGGCTGTGGCCGGCGGTGGAACTGCATGGCTTACCAGCGACGGCAAGCAAGCAACTGAGCGTCCAGAGCCAGAAACCAAAAAGCATCTTTACCCAATGAGGCAATGGCTTTTTACACGACGCGGGCACAGTGTTTGCAACCCGAATACTGAAAGTGTCGAAACTTGGCACTAGTGCCGCCCACAACACTCCTCACCATGGCGGAAGAGGAAACGGGCAACTGTAGATCGCCTTGTAGGGGGGGAGGAGGAAGCGACGGAAAAATGGAAAGCACAAATTGGTTGTCGGTCTTTAGGCATCATCGAAAACCACTAAATCAATTAATTTTAGAGCTACAAGGCAGGGGTAGCATTTTACGGAGTTCTGAGAAAAAAAAACTTGCAGCTTGGATGCGTTTTTCATTGAAACCATATGGTAATTTCCATTCGTTAAAAAGTTAATAAGTAAATTTGACTTTGTTATAGAGCTAATTAGTACAAGTTTCAGAATCCTTGATGTCTGCCATTGCTGCCAGTTCGTTCGCAAAAAGAGTTCCTTTCTTTCAAGACTAGCCAGTTTTTAGGGAATTTAGCCTTTGCTGAAACACCCAGACTATGTTCACAGCAAGCTGCAGTGTGCTGTCTTCCATGTCGTGCTGTCTTACAATCATTCGTAAGCTAAAGGAAAACAAGAAAAAACAAACTCGCGACAGCGGGAATCCAGCAGGGCAAAAGTAAAATTTATAGGAACGAAAACGAGACAAACACGCTTAGGCTTGGAGTGTCCAGTCTCTGGCCGTCAAAAGAACAACAATCTCACAAGCTCAAGGGGGAACGCCGGTGTCTGAAACAATCTCTTCGCTGTGCCCAGTCGGAGCATAAAAGTGGGAGTACCCTTCGGTTAAGGCTAGGAATGCCGGCCGCGTCCCCGACGCGTGCATCCGTCTGAGGAACAGGTTCCATTCCTCTTCACTAGGCTTGGGAATGCTTCGTCTCTGCCTCCCAGCCGCCTGCATCTCGCTGCCGCCGGGCCGTCTTTTCTTTGCCGTCGCGGACGAGAAGTCCATGTCGGCGATGGGGCAGCAAGCCACATCCTTGAGGTAAATGGGCTCCGGAGTGTTGGGTAGCTCGTCGCCGGCGTCGCCTCGCTCCTTTACAATGGCTTCTAGGTAGAACAGCACGGCTGCAATGTGCGAGCAGCATTCTTCGAGTCCAGCCATGCAGGTACAGTGTGCTAGCTCCACTGCCCCGTCTGCTTGAAGCAGGAGCCAGGGTTTGAGGGGCTGCGAGTTGGGGCCCTCGGGCTGGTTCACCTGTAAAGCATTGCACAAAAATTGCTTGAGTTAATGTCTGCACACGCAGAATCTCGTGAACGCTTTCTAAATGGTCGACGTACGTACAAAAACGTCTGCTGTAGTGCACCGTTCCCGATATTTACTGGCAATCGCCGCTTGCTACAGGGGCGGCATCGGTGGCCAAGCGTGTTGGTGCACCGCAGACAGGAGCACATAGGGAAAGGGTGGTGGGGATTGAACCCAGGGTTCCTGGGTTCGATTTTCCTCCTGGCCGTTTTGATCTGGACGAGCGTCGTACACCAGCGTGCAGTCGTGCAACGCTACTGTGGGGTGCACGTTAAAAGACCCCGGGCTAGCTGTGGAATGGCACTGGCCATATTTCTCGCCCACAGCGGAGACACTAGACGCCCATTGGTCCTAACTGACTTCCCGCTCGCGACAATGTTACTCGCTACACTCCGTTTAGCCTTACGATGAACCGCAGCAGACACTTGGAGCCATCCCAGCCAACCCAGCACTGCGAATGTATCATGTGACTATGTGCCCTGTATGTCGCTGCGCCCCAGCCAAAGGCCACGAGACATTCGCACGGCTTTGGATTGGCTTCAATGCCTCGTAGCCTCCGCTGGGATCCGTCGTAAGGTAAGACGGAGCATAGGTGGTATCCACTGGACACCGCATTTCAGGAGACTGCTCACGGCGCACGCTCGGGAGGAGTTTCTCGTCAGTTCTCCTGCAACCACAAGTAAAGAGGGGAAGGAGAAATTCTCTTATCACCGGGACTTCTTTGTGTGCCCCTGACTTCCCTATAGGAGCTTTGCACACATGCCAGATTACAGCTGCCCTAGCTGACCTTCTCTCTCAGTACCCAGACACCGAGCCAGTCAAGTGGGCGTTGACGAGCTTCTACAAAGGCCGATGCCAAGGAGAAGGACACGGTAGAATCTAAAATGGCAATAACCTGCCATCATGACAGGCAATAACCTGCCTGTCACAAAGTGAAGTAGACATAATAAGAGGAAACAAAAAATGAAGATCAGTCATTGCCCTGCACATGCACAGCTCCTGCAAAGCGTCTATACTCTCACAAACTGTGCAGTGCAGCCAAAGCTACAGGGGAGAGAGCGTATGCCAACCTGTTCAAGAGGAGGGAAAGGAGGAACGGGACAAAACGGCTGGGATTCCCCCAGTCCCCCCTCTTGAACAGGTCGGGATACGCTCTCTCCCCTGTAGCTTTGGCTGCACTGCACAGTCATCTACGAGAGTATAGAAGATTAAGCCGTCACTCAAATTTGTACAAAAGCAGCTTTACCCTCACTTCCGTGGAGGTGCGAAAGCAGTAGCGAGCTCAGTTATGGTTGCCAGTGAATACCAGTATAGCTGCGACGGACCTTTAAGGTGTTCACTAGTTCAAAAGGTTCTGAACTGCACTCTGCAGTACAACACTGAAGACCGCATTAAAACCGACAACCTTCAACTACCGGGTTCACAAATAAAGTTTTCATTCTTTTTTTGCGGTTCAATTGTACAATATGATGCACCCATGGAAGCATCACCTGGAATAATGAAAGCCTGTGAACAGCCTCCATACTGGACATGAGGCCCAGCCCAGACACAGCCCTCGTGTTCAAAATGTTTCGGCGCTCAATCTAAGTCAATAACGTCAAGATGCCAGTGCGCGGGCTACCATTATTCTGGTTGGTGTTGCCCTCATAGCACAGTGTCAGCTTGCGGAGTAATTGTGTAAAGGTTGAGGGCGCAGGTAAGCTGTTGATTAAGCAACATAATAAAACCAGAGTTGTGTCCGAGACGGTCCTTCCATTTGCGGAGCCTTTCCTTCCACAGAACCACTGGCATTCATCGCGATCTCACCTTGCCGACGACGACGACCATTCCGTCCGGCAGCACGCGAAGCTTTGGCACCTCTACCCACTCGCTCACCAAGAAGTTGTAAGCTTCCAGCTCTTTGTAGGCCTTCAACTGTGCGCGAGTGATGAACTTCGTGCCGTGTACCAAGTAATCGTTGATATCGACCCTCTCGACTCTCGGGACACCTGCAAGTTCAAAGTTAAGTTCCTTCGAAGTCAACGCCAGCGGGTCTGCTCCGTTGCAACGACGAACTTTGTCGATGTAGGCGGTCTTCGCAGGCCCGTCAAGGGTGTTCGCGTACGCGCTGAGCCGTACAGACATTGCGAAGAGTACCAAAAACAAAACACCGTACACCACGTAACCAATATCTAACCTAAACAACGAGAAAACACGTTGCACGGAAGGCACTCAAACCACTCAAACTGCTCAAACTATGCGGCAAACAACGCCAGTAGATCAAACACTTGGATTGGATTTGGGACTGACCGCCTTACTTTTTTGTCTCAGCGGCATTCATCATTTCACCACTTAATGATTTGTTGCTATATTTTTTAAATAAACAGTAATTTGAATGTTTTCATTTTATACCAAAAACACAATTAAAAAGAAATTGTAACAAAACGTGTGCTTTGCCGAATCCAGAGTCTACGAAAGTATTCTCTTAGTTCACGATCCAATCCAATCTAATCCGAAACATCCAAAACGTTTGTAATCCGACAATCGTGGCTGTAGCGGCGTGCTTTTCGAGTTGCAACAAAACCCACTGCCTGTGAACCACCATGTCCAACGTCAACACAGGAGACAAGGAAAAGAAGCGGAAGGAGTCTATCGTCGACCTCTCCAAGTACCTGGACAAAGCCATTCGCGTCAAGTTCCAGGGCGGCCGGGAAGCGACTGGCATCCTGAAAGGCTACGATCCTTTGCTCAACTTGGTCATCGACAACGCCACCGAATACCTGCGCGACCCTGACGACCCGTACAAGCTCACGGAAGACACCAGGACCCTGGGACTGGTTGTGTGCCGAGGAACCGCAGTCGTGGTGATCTGTCCCGTCGACGGCATGGAGTCCATTCCCAACCCTTTCGTGCAACACGAAGGCTGAACACTGATGTTATCACTTGTTGGTTTGTTCATTTTATTATTATTTTTTTAAATCTGGGTCCGTCTCCTAATCCATCCTATGTCAACAAGTACTGTCACCGGAGTCATCGATATGTTCCCTAGAATAAATGGGTAACGCGCGCAGGTAACGCGCGCAGAGTTTGATTTGAGAACGGAGCCTGTGAGGACCGTACGCATGGCGTAAGGCCGAGTCGAGTGCTGTGGTTAATTAATTAAGGGAGAACAACAAAATGAAGCCAATAGAAATCTAGCGTGTGGACCATTCTATCTGCAGTCTTGACCAGCAAGTTCCCGTGAAAAATCATGAGCCATTCCACTCTGAAGGTGGATGACCAGCAAAGCTATTTAGAAATTAGCACACGACACACACCCGCTGAGAAGCGGAGGAAACTAGACACGGTGCGACGGGACTGCCACCACGGGAGAGCGGAAGGAAACCAGGCACGCAAGCGCTTGGAACGACAACAAAGAAAGGGCAGTGCAAGTGTAGACATAGCTGATGTGGCTTGCACAGTGGCAAATCTTTGAGAAACCTTTATTATCTACATGAGAGTCTACTGATCTTGAAAATGGTGCCTATTGATAACTAATCTACTGAAATGCAAGTCTAAGTAATGAGATTTGTAAGCTTTTGCATAGAATGAAGCAATTTTGCATCAAATTCGGGACCAGAGTTTTTGTTGCACACAAAAAATCCACAGAACCCTAGCCATAAACAGCTTCGTTGTGATAAAAGTGACAAGTAATATTTTAGGCTTTTAAAGCAGCCATTGAAAGCACCATTACTAGGCAAGTAAACCAACATTGCTTGCATTAATGCAGTTAAGCATCATCAGCTACAGAACGTGCCAGTGAACAAGCAATCGTCTCCATCACTTCCCAAGTGTGGTGACCCATTTAGAGGCTTGTCCATAGTTAAAAGGGCCCTGCAATCATATTTAAGCTACCTTTTTTGCAGTTTCCACGTCTCTTGGGGTTCGGGCAAGCCAGCGGGCACGGAGACAGCAACTAAATATCAGTGCGTCGTTTTTTAACCAGACGACACGGAAACCTCCACCTACGGAGGCGACCTGCGGTGCCAAAAGCGCGCGATATGTGATGTCTTTGGTCCTTGGCTTACTACTGTTCAGAGCCGCTAAAAGCTTATTTTTAGTCGAAATACAAAATATAGGTGGCACGAACCATTTCAATTATTTATAAAAGTAGTTTTTGTTCAGTATTTTAGATCAGAAAAGAAACATATGCAGTTTAGAAAGTATGGAAACAAGAAATGACCCGTCGCCATATCTGCCGCCAAGCGGTGGAAAAGGCGGCGCATACTAGAAAGGTGTAGTAGGATCAGGCACCGACGAGCGGCGCTGTGGTCGTATGGACTGGAGGATCCGACCGGTTCCGAGCATTCTGAAGGCCTTCGGTGAGCAGCTTTGGCTTGCGGTTTGGCCTTATGGCGGTATGGCAGTGCGAAGTGGCTCCCGTTCTGAACTGATCTTTACCCCGTGCTTGCTATCATTTGTGGCCAATGAAGTGTCATGACGAATTAGTGTCTAATCGCTGAGCAAAAGCAATGCGAGCTGCCGTGGCTGCCCGCGTCATACAGCCTAGCCAAAACATGCTTTAGTGGCGCCCTCTTGAGCCGTCGACACAGAGCGCGGCAGCCGCGAGCGCTCGCCTAGTTCACTGCCCTTCCTCTAGTTCGCAGCCAGTCAAGTGACCAAGGACGTCATGAAGGTTATTTTTTCCTTGTTTTTGTAATTTTAATTTGCCTACTTTTAAAATAAAGCGAAATCCGAGAAAAGTTTTATTAAGTTACTACGTTCAGTGCGCTCAGGCTAGGTGCAAATTAAAAACCAGTAAAAAAGTCCTTGCAGGGCCCCTTAAAGTGACCTCGAGGTACCAGCCTTGCACAAAACTTACCAGCACCTTCCTTGGCCCGAAAAAAAAAAAAATTTTTTCTTTTCTTATGCAACTTTGCCTACTTGAGATGAAGTTTTTGCAACACAAACAATCTAGTGACGCCCTACAAGGGACTGCAGAGAACCCTTTTCTAAAATAAAATAAAATGCACACTAAATATGAAATGTGCATTCGTTTTTCATGGTTCATGTACGAAACAATGAGGTAGTTTGCTGGTCACAGGCTGCAAAGTGTCTCGGCAGCATACAAGACAACAATGTATTTACCGGTATAAGAGACTGTAATGAAAGCTTGTTTCATTTGCACCCGTCTCCAACACAGTTACTGAAATTGTTAGCATTGCACAACCTTGCTGCTGACTCAACACAATTATGTAAGCACGATGCACATAGTGCCCGAACCTCCCGGCCCTCCCACACCACCTATAAAAGAACGTCCAAACGTGGCCAAATTTCGTTTACCTTTTAGATAAATCTAAATGACCAATATTATTTTTCTGGGATAAAATTCAAAAGTTCCCAAAGCTGCACATTTTATCCAGAGATCAAATATAAGATGAAAGATAACATTCAGAAAAACCTTTGCACAACTAAAATCTTGCCTTTTCAGACTGTCATTCAGACCAAACAAGCATGCAATTCTCGATTTTGAAGCAAGGCAGTTCACCGATGCACCCCCCCCCCCCCCCCCCCCCCCCCAGAGAGACTAGGATTGCTGCAGCACCTGCAACTACAGACAGACAGACAGACTCTGCATTCACCTCACAACAAGCACCTCATAGAATTTTATTCTGCATAAAATATAAATAAATACACCACTCCAAAGTAGGGGCCCTCCAGTTCAGAAAGTTTTCGAGACAAGAAACCACACAAGCAAACCATGTACATTTTTTTTTTCTTTGGACGTTTTTCTTTTTCACGGGGGCCCAATTGCAACCGCGGTGGACGGCAAAGGGCGCTTCTCAGCCATTCCTAAATAAGAACGAGCCGTTGAAAAAAGCAACAAGGACCAAACCAACCGTCGTCCCACGTCCTTCTGGTGGAATCAATCTATAAACGCAAAATGCTGGCAATTTTCTTTTTTTTTTCTTTGTGAACTGCAGCATTTATTTGAATGCCTCTCTATGCAACGATCCTGAATCTGCATACTGCATCTCTGAGAGTTGTCCTGAAAGTTTTCTTACACAGTTCAAAGGCTGACGACGTGACGTCTTTACGTCAGACATCAACTTTCTAGATGGCCACAAGCAAGCACGTCAAATTCAACGACTTGCCACCAATGCAAGACACAGACACACATGCGTCCGATAGGTCACATGATTTGTCGGATTTTGAATTGTGCGCGTGCCTTGCTTCCGAGCCTTCTGAAACTTTTCTCCTTGTGCGTCTAATAATAATAATAATAATAATAATAATAATAATTACTATTATTAAGTGGATCATTTCTTGTCCCTTGGTGCTCATACAAAAAGGGCTATTTTGTTCCCTCGCAAACAAGAACAGAAAAAAAACAAAAAAAAACAATTCAGTCCTACTGGACATTTCACAGGTCAGCCTTTTCGGAAACTTGAGTATAGATGAGACGAAGCGTGACACTAAAAAATAAATAAAAAGCGTGCGACAAACAGTCTGAAAAATCGCCAGCACAACTAATTGGGAAACAGCATAGATCGTAGCTTGAGCAGATTTCACTTTTGAGAATGGTTTACACGAAACAATTCCGAATTCCTATTGGAGGCGCTCGTTTACTTCGTGGCACTTCTCTGTCGCGAAACATCTTTTTGGTATGCTGCCACTGACCCAAAAGTGCCGTAAGCGTGCTTCAAAGAGATCAGTCTCCGCTAACGTTGAGCAAGGACCGATGGTGTGTGCTCGGGAAAATTGAGCCGCTTGGGGTTCACCAGTCGTCGAATTCCGAAATGCAAAGAGAGGTAAGGTGGCACAAAGACGGTGGAGTGCGTCAATGCTGTCTACTTCGGCTCTGGAAGTTCTTTTAGCGAAAAGGAACAAGTATGGTTCCGATTAATCCTATATGGGACACGCATGCGTCTTCAAACAATGCAACCGTTTTGAAAACAAGGAAAATGGAATCGTTGCAAAACAGCGATTACATATTCACGGTGTATTTGCAAGAAGGGCAGACACATGGGACTTTGAGGGAAAGGAAGTGGGTGGGGGGGGGGGGGGGGGGGGGGGCAGGAAGGCACAATTTGTGGTTAGGCACTTTTTCAATACACATCGCACTCACTACACTTCTCAGGGGTTTGGCTTGACTGATCCCACCACACTTCGCTCAATTACGCTAGGGCAAAGTAAGTTGTGGTACAAGGAAAAAGAGGGGGACAGGCATGTCTCCCAAAAGCGTACTATCCACAGATTAAACTCGCGCAAGGTGGTGAAAAAACGTCTAAGAGACACAGAGGACGAACGAGGCATTTTTACAGGACCACAGAGTGTTTCAGAGGTATGGAGGCTTTGGTGCACGACTGCACCCATCCAACTGAAATGTCTACGCTTCGTTCACCCCTAAACAGACGGCGCGGTGGGAATCAATCCATTGCCTTCCTTTCATCACCTCTTGCGCTTACAAGCATGTGCACAGTGTGTGATCACGCAATGAAAAGGAGATGTATGACTGATATAACGAGAACATAGCTTCCTCTGCACTGTCGGGTTAGGGGTGAACTTCGCACAACTTTCGATCGGTCATTCTAGAAACCACCCGGCGGCTTCAAACATCTTAAAGGACACAAAGTTGCCAGCAACTGAACAGAAAAAACCGTACTCCGCAATCTCCCTCCCCCCCCACAGGGGTCGTCGAGAAGCCGCTTCGACCGACCAGAGTTGTATCGAGGCTAATTACGACCACCACGGCTACACAGAGAGGCTGCCACTAACTCTCAACACAGGTCTCTAAAGGTTTACATAATGGGCAATCACGAAACAGTGGTGGATACACGACTGCCCAAACCCGCAACGCAGCGACTGGTATAAGTTGCGTCCGTCAATAAACAAGGCTAGCTAGGTTAGTGTTAGGTCTCTTTGGAGATTTCACTAAAACCGCCTCTTGTCGAGGTGCCATGCACGTGCAGAAGCCAAACCGCTTGACGAAATAAGACGTATGCCATCACCGAAAGCGTCGGTCAGTCTCAGCTCTCCAATCTCGAAAATATAAAGTCCTTCTCCAACCGAAGACCGTCGCTGTAAAAGCAACAAAGTGTAAAAAAAAAAGGGAAGGCGCAAAAACGCAGTTAGACGATTACGTAATCTAATCATGCATAACAACTTTGCAGTAAAATGATTTCGACTGGAATGCTCCTCATACTCAAAAACACCATCTTGCACCTAGGCCGGACAATTCATTCCACTATCAGCACTTCTGCCGAAGCTTCCCGAGCAGAACGATGTAAAACCGAACCGTACAAACCCTCCAGGTTTTTCAACCGTGGCGCAGGAAATAGAAAAACATGTCCCCTAAGGTTTCAACCAAACCTGGCACCAAATATTCGTGACCTACCAAGACTCCTTTCTAGGCGTCGCATACCGCCCTCGAATAAGAAGCGTCCAGAGCCCCAACGGATTGTTCGGACCAACGCTATACTCGAGGAACCGGCATCGTTCTGAGTGGCACCAAACTTGACCTTGTAACTACTAACCACAGACCATACTGGAAAAATTGTCATGCACTGCACATTTGAAGAACAAACTATTCAGAGGGTTTGTCCTGGAAGGATCTGGAAGGACAGACTTTGTAGATGCTTGACCATCACACTCTAGTAATCCTCCTGGTGGCCAAGTCTTCGAGAGACACACCGCACAATGATCCTCCTTGTCACGAGAGCAGAGAGCAGTCAACCTTTGGCGGTAGCAGTCCCCTGCTAACAACCATGAATTCCATGCGGGAGCCAGCGTTCCACCAAGAGGAGGTTTCCTACAGCGGAATCCTCAAAAAGTTCCTTTCTTTTGCCACTTCTTTGTTGCTGTGTACATATCTTAAGGATATGAAAAAAGCATATGGCTCCTAAAGCTGCAAATACTGTTCTTCTGCAGGACAGGTAACCGTGCAAATAACCCGGTTCAGACTGCAAAAGGTATCATCCCGATACTGGAGACGGCCCGTCATCCTTAGCTTTGTGTCCCGTCTTCCAGGTTCATGAGAGACTTGAAGTGCACCCCCGCCACAGACTTCTAGAGCGGTTCGTCGTTGGTCATTGTCGAAGACTTGAAGCCGCAATTCGTTCACAAACTTGTCTTCTGTTTGGAGACTTCCCTCCAACGGCTTGTCCAGAAGGACACACACCACCTCGGAAACAAGTGAAACAGCATCCCACCTCAAAAAGAGCAAGTCATCTTCTGCTTCGAGTCTCCTTTCCAGTTGCTTTCTTCCAGAAAAACGCCAGAGGCCTTCGGGATTCGATTGGCCACCGCCCAACGCTCGGGGGGGACCCCCCCCCCATCCCGGCAAACAACAGGGCACCCCTCGCCTCAGTAGTCTCTTCGCTGGTGACTCCCATAGCCGAAGAAAGGCAGCGAGGTGTGGTGGGGACTCCCGCGCTGCTGCTGCTGATTCGTCGAGGCGCCCTGCTGGGCGGGGCCCCTTCGCGGCGTGCCCGTGTGCCTCCTGAGATGCGACCGCTCCCGGTCCATCTCCATGTCCTCCAAACGCTGGGTCAGCGCCAGCTTCTGGTGGATCGCCATCCGCAGGAGCGAGTTCAACGTCTTCCGCTCGTCCTCCACTGCCGCCAGCTGCCGCTGAAGGTCGTCCAGTTGCGCCACATACTCCTCGCAACGCGCCGCAAACATGGCGCGCAGCGACGCGAACGTCGCCGCGTCCTCCTTGAGACTCTTGAGCTCGTGGCGCTGCTTGGACAGCGTCTCGCTGACCACGGCCTTCTCTGTCTCGTACTTGGACTTGAGGTTGGTCAGGGCGACCTCGGCGGTCCGCTTGTTGGCCTTGAGGACGGCACGGAGCGTTGCAATCTGCTCTCGTTTGGTGGACAGGAGAGACTTCAGCTTGATGACCTGTTCCTGGAGTTCCTCCTCCTCGATGGAGCCTGCGCCGTCGCCAATGGTGGGCACGCGGTTGCGGCCCATCTCCATGGTCGTTTCCACGGCGACGCGGAGGTGGCGGACCTGGTCTCTGAGCGTTTCGCCCAGAGTGACGCACTGCGAGGGGTCGAGGAGGTTCTCGCGGAGCAGGGCCGCACGGAAGAGCTCCGTGCGTAGACGTTCAATGGGCAGGCCATCCGTCGCAGGCGTCTTCTCCGTTGATGGAACGTCCTCCGTGGATGCTGCGGGCGGAAGAGGTCTTTAGGTAAGATTCCAAATGTTTCCACAGTTGCCAACACTCCTCATTAGAAGTCCCTACATAAAATGGTAGCTTCTGCACCACTATTACTGACACTGATATTTATCATTATACTAACTAAAGGTCGGTTGCTGAATCATGCGCTAACAATGGTCGCCGTTTTGTGGAGAAATAATTAGGCTTAGCTTGGTGGCATGGATGAGGGGAGGTCTTAGAAATAACGAAGCAGCACCCGAAACGCAGCTTGCCCTACAATTATGATTTCATGTTTTCGGAGTTTATTTTTTGTCTAATCGGAGAGTGTGTTTTTCAGTTCACTTTTTGTCGAAAATTTGGAGTTGAACTGAGTTTATTTTTGTTTTCTTTCCAATTGTCCTAAATTCGGAGCTTAATTTTGCAGTGTTTCCTATTTCTCAAAAATAAAGATAAATAACACCTGTGTGGAAACATATTCTAGATTCGAAAGAATGAACTTGTATCAACTAACATTTATTCAGCTGCATTTGGCATTGGTGCCATTGCTATCGGCAATACTGATGTATCCAACAAAAAAAGTTGCCCACAAGTGTTGCTTCGATGAACGTCAATACCTTAAAATCAACAAACTCCTGGAGGTAGTCGCTGGGAAGCTTGTATTCACCCCATCCTATCCATCAGCCCACCCCACCACGGCTGCGTGGGGTGAAGTGGTAAAGGACGTAAAATAGAACTTCAACTGCCCACCCACTCTTCCCCCTTCTGTGAAACCTTTATCGTTCACAGCTTTCACTGTTACAAAAAATGACTTCTCCTTCCTCTAAGCACAAATAGAATGGCCCAAGCTGAAAACCCGAACAGTGGCTTTTGACATGACCAGAAAGTACACTGACTTGTTGTTCTTAATGAACCTCGACAAAATCAACGGTAAGACCCGTTTTGTCAATGGTGCGAGATTTGAAACAAAACTGGGGTAATATTTTCTCAGGACCATTGACGCCATGTGCTGACCAAATTTTACTGTAAAATACCATATTTTTTTTATTTTTTGGAGTGGCATTGGTGCATCAAAATTTGGAGTTGATCGAATAAATCTGAATTGACGAAAATTTTACCGGCGGCTGTTTATCGGATTTATCCGAAAGCACAGAAACCTACGTATCATATGGGAAGAATCTTGGTAATTAAAACTCTGGTAATTCAAACTAACATGCACGTCTCGTTTCATGCGTTTCCAGGAAGGAAACTCCCAGTGATTCAAACCTTGCATTATTCAAACAAAGTTCTGGTCCCCCTCGGGTTCAAAAATAATGAGATTCCACTGTTCACATGCATGACGCACTGAGCTGTGCTGAGAGTTTATTCATGAGCTTTCCTGAGCTTGGGAGTCACGCTAAATTCGGCGGACTTACGGCCCGCTGCTTAGTGAGAAAACCCGAATAGACGCATAACTATATACAGCAATTCAATGAATTAGAGAGCAACTATATAAAAATTCAATTTCCCTGCTAAATTTAGCGGGGAAACGCTTTCCACTAAATTTAGCACGTTACAATTTTTGGGGGGACATTTGTTTTTTCAGGAAAAGCCTGCCGTAATATCTTGAGAGACAGCCCACCTGAAATCGATAGCGAATTGGAACAAAATATGAGGTGGGCTAACTTTCGGTGCATCATAAGGAAAACATGAAAAATGTTCAGCCTTTCTACTTTTGTGAAAAAGGAAGACCAGCGGAGCTGTACTCGATACCAGGCACGTAGCCAGGATTTTGTTTTGGGGGGGGCCACCCATTACAAAATGCTGTATGAGGGGGAGGGGGGAGAGGAGGCTCCAGCAAAATGGAAGATTTCGGTGGGGAGAGGGGGGAAGGGGGGTCCCAGGCCCCGTGGGCTTCCCCCCGGCTACGTCCCTGCTCGATACACTGTGTGCTTCTTCTTTGTCTTGATTTTCGCGCTGTTTCCTACGATGAATTCCCACCAACGCGCCCAACTATCCATTCTTCTATTATAGCTGGAAAGGTTTGCGCCATCTACGAGCTACGGCGGAAACCATACTGGTTGTGTGCTTGCAGCTGTCGCTTATAGATGGTGGTAGGTGTCCAGGTAGGTTTGTGTCGACATACACGGACACGATCCTAGAGAACCTAGTGCTTAACAGCTCCCGCCGTAAAAATGCTAGTTTTAGATTTTGCGACCCTCGAAATTTGTGACCACAAAAGGGGGCGATGAACCACAGACGACAGTCCTTCGCTGTCAGCAATTGTAGCTTATCTCCAGCTGTGGTTAAGTAACACCGTTTTTGCAGAGGTCACCATTGGCCAGGGCCCTGCAATTACTGGAAGTGGGCTATCTTTTGGTGTTTCGGAAAAAATAGCATATCATGCCAAAAACAGGGGGTGGGGCATCTGCCATGATAATATTACGGTATCCCTAAACATATTCGCCAGAACTAGCAAATTTCAAAACTCCCCGCTTTCCCTTGCCGAGTGGAATTCATTGCCCACACAGATTGTCATGGAAGTGAAACATAAAAACAAATTCCGTGATGCACAAAAATAATTTTTGCTAATTGTGTACGGTGTTTGTTCATGGAATTTTCGCTTTTGTTTTCCAATGTTGCACAGATTATGTTGTACTAGTTACTTGCCCTCTTCGTGTAAAGTGCTCCTTCCAGGGTGCCTTTGGGGAAGTGAGATAAAACTAAACTCGAATGAAATGAACTGCATACAAAATAAAAAGAAAAATAGGAGAAACAGGACCGGTCCTCACCCATGGTCTCGCCATCCTCGATGCGCGACCCCTTGGCATGGTCCAGGACCACCCTGCTGGGTGTCTCACCGTTGACGGTGCACACGTGGTGGTACAGCTGGGCCAGGTCATCTGATACCGCCAGGAGCTCTTCCTGCAACGTCCCGGCCACATTAATAGAACACCACGAGCAGAATTCTTCGAGTAGACATGCTACATGAACCCAGCACGAGACACACATCTCCAGTGTCATGGTGACGATACAGAATCCTTACTTCCTTTCGGTTTGTTAGTACATATTTGATGCAAGGCCTCCTTGCCATAGATCGCAGTTCTACAAAAGTGGTGCTCAAAACAAATGTGCATTTCCATGACAGACATGGCAGCTGAATGTATATTTTGTAAGAGTGACTAGGAAGTTAAGTCAAAATGTGTCCGTGCCAGTGCTACGTATGGAATTCTCGTCCTGCTTAGAAGGTTTTCTTTTCCTTTATACCGCTAACTTTTGCAAAATATAACTTGGTAGTACTTGAAGAAAAGTTGCTGAGGAGATCACAAAAACTATAATGCTCCCTCGCAGGTAAAATAAATAATCTGCACTCCTATACACCTTTCCAAAAAACGCTCCTAGGCCGCCGCCATGTCGCTGATGCTGATGCAGCTGGTGCGACTCCTGTGCCTTCTATCAGCTAGAAATTTTCTGCCACTCTCTTGGACTGTGAGGACCCACTCAGCGCGGATCTCTACCTGCGGTTTTGCATTCAACGTTTTCTGGCCCCTCTTGAAAGTTTCCACTTAATTTTTTTTTTATGCATGCTGCGTACCCTTTCTATTTTATCTTCCATTGTGAGAAATAAGACTGGTAAGTGCCTGCCATTCAGCTTTTCTGCTCGACATTCACGGGAAACGAAGGAGGTGAAGGACGTCGAACGACCCTCGACGCAATTTTGCGAACATTGTTCTCCCCCCTCTTACAAATAATCTGCATAGAATCCTCAGTCATCTCCAAAAATAGTTGTTAGGGTTGGGGTGGGAAACGGGCCAGTCGCGTTTGTTCCTTTGCCCAGTTGCTGTTGTGAAAAAAGGAAGCTCTCCCCAAAACGTGCCCCAAAACGAAGTCATCTTGGATTCCGTCCGATCGTCAAGATGTGACTGTCGTCGACTGTGACTGTGTTATTTGAGATCTTTCTTAAATTAATTCTTTTTGGATAACGCTGCATCGTGTGGTACGCACGATATATTGTTTGAATGTCAACACTTTCTAAATTGTATGTCCGTGTCCTGTCCATCGATCGGTAAACACGTTATTTGTGAGCGTGAAAAATGCATGCCTTTCGGCTCTCTTCTGTTGCAATTTATTTTTGACAGCTTTGTCATTTGACATGCGGCAAATCGTGCAGCGCCGTCAAAACTTATCGTAAAAAAAAAACACAAAAAACTAGAACTATATATTCCAGTCGCATTTGTTCTGTTGCTCGCCCAACAAAAATAGTTATAATAGGTTTTTATTGCTTTTTTTTTTTCAATTGTGGTACAATGCTTTCTCAGTGACCTCGGGAAAATATGTGCACCATGAAACACAAAATACAGCGGGAAAAGACGAGAATTTAGCCGCCAGCAGTGTTTAAAACTGCGCCTATGCAGGCTGCGCCTATCGAAATCACAGTCCACTCGGTTAGGGTTAGTAGGGACGCTGGTGAGAGTCTAGCATCGAACCCGGTGACTGGGCTCGAAAATGGTTTGCTGCCCCTGGGGTCAAGTGTTTCTAGGAAAGGTGTATAGGGTAGGGCAGGGAAAAATGAAACACTGAGCAGAATGCAACATTTTAAGTTTAGCACCATCCGTATGCGAATTTGGCAGTGCAATTTGGCAGTGCGATTAATTTGATACTTCACCGACAGGTGCCAGCACTTGTCCGCTTTACTCCATAGCAAATATGTTACCATTAGTGGAGACACGCTGGAGAAAAAATAAAAGCGCCGTTTTGGTCGATGAGCAGCCAAAACGTGGTGAAATTCTGAGCTTCCGTTCTTCTGGAGGGATGCAGCCGAGTCGAGTAAAGCTACCGTACCAAGATGAGTTTTTATTTTATTTGTTTGTTTCGTTACCTAACTGTGGAAAAAATTTTATTTCTCTATAATTTGATTGTTACAGCAATAAAATTGTTAAAATTAAAAGTGTATGTTAGGGCCAATTGGGATAATATCATGATCAATAGGCGTAAACCAATTTTTGGTAGGTTTAACGTTTGTTCCCGAGCTATTATCTTTTATTCTTTTATGGTTTAGAATGGTTAAGTCGTACAGAAGGTAAACCGCCAGGGCTTCGTAAAAAAGTACTAAAAGGTATGCATCAGCAGCGTCAGTTTATTGGCACTGCAGCCAAAGCCTTCGGGGCACGAAAGGATGCACTCCAAAGGCGTGCAAGGAAACTCAATGAATTTAAAGAGCAAGTGCTTTATAAAAGTCAGTTTGGATCCAGACAAAAGGGTCTTTCCGACCAGCTAGAAAGCTTGTCAAGCATATTGTGTACATAAACAACTCTTCGTGCACTCACATACTAGGATGTCGAAGAAATAATTAACACCTACTGTTAAAAAAAAAAAAGATAACCAGGGGAAAGATTATTAAGGATGAAGGAGATACTCTGCTGACTATTTGTTCATTAAATAAGCCAGTAGCGCAGACGAGTCCTGCAAACCCTACGACGATTGCACTAGATGTGAGTGACAATGCCTTGTGTGAAGCCATGGAGCAAAACAGCACCCCATTTTGTGCAGTTGATCCAATACAAGGCCGGGCTTTAAACGTTCCAAACACAAAAACCGAGCAGTCTTTTTTCTTTTTTAGGGCAACTCATTTTGTTTTGCTAGCTGTCTCATTTTGTCCCAGAAGTCAGGGCAAAATATGACATTTGTGACTTTTTATTGGCAATGAACATCCTGTACTTCTACCAGCTCAAGCCTATAGTCATTCATACCGACCACAACACCGAGACGCCAAAGCAGATTTTCGTAAAATGCTTTTTTTTTCGATACACTATAAAACAAAAACAAAACAGTGTCGACTTGCAATTTTTTGTCTCGTGTTACCCTGCCTTAGCCTAAGTGCTCACGTCAAATGCAGCTTTAAAAAATGCTGCACGACACTTCGGAACCATCACCCTCTCTTAACCCCTTCACCGTTTTGGACGAGCTTCGCTCGTCAATGTGCAGCCGTCCCCCAAACTGTTCGGGATGAGCATAACGCGTCTACGTACCCCAGTTGACGCGCTCGGCCGTTTTAAACGACCCAGGCTCATTCATGGCTTAGTTTGTGACTCTGCCAACAGTTGGCAGCACTGACCTTCATTAAATTTTGCTCTCGTTTCGTTTGTGGCTAGAAACTTGATTTCGAAGGCAACAGTTAATCAGTTAAGCTCAGACTCTCCCAAAGCTAAAAATGACTAAGTCGTTACAGCATTTACCTTAACATCCCAAAACATTAGCAAAACCTACTACAAAGGTCAAATTGGGCGCAAGACAAATGGGAAGGGAAGGCTAAACTTGCGGCATGTGGTTCAGAAAAGCCCGAAGAGGGTTCCCTAGAATTTTTTAACTCTCGCAAAAAAATCCTTGACACTCCAAAAACGCTCTTTGATAGTAAAAAAAAGAAAAAGAGACTAACCTGAGTTGAGCCCAGCCTTGTCTGAGTCATGTCAGTGGCGTTGCTCACAATGTTCAGGTCGTCCTTGATGTCCGAAATCAGCTGCTCGTAGTCGTGCACCTTCGAAGAAGGGGACAGAGGCAGGTCAAGGACACGTGCAAAAGCCTCTGCAGGTCCCCGCCTACCAGTTAAATGCTCGCAGACTCTATGCGCATAGACTCCAGTGGGTACAAATAAAAATGTAAATATGGTCAACTTGGAATTGTTACATACATAAAAAAGAGAAGGTTTAAAATCTGTTAAAACAAGTTAAACTCCCAGTGAGCTTATAAACATCATAACGCGCAAATAATGTTACCGATTCAACTCTGTGACAAAGCCTCCCGAAAAGTGACAACTAAAGTCAAAGAAAAATGAAACGAGTCTTAGCCCTTAAACACTTATGCTTAATTAATTAGCATTATTAATTAATGATGGTTCATTCGCGAAACTAACCAAATTTAGTGAGGTGCCAAATACAGCAGCCATGTGACTAAAGGTATGTGCATGACTAATTGTTTTTAGTATGCTTAGGACGACCAGTGCCCATTTGACCGGTGTTATTTTATGAAGAGAGTGCGACTTTAACCTACCCATGCGAGTTTTAACCAATGTATCAACAACACCGGTGTACCTTGTTCTTGAGGTTGGCGATCTCATCGCGAAGCTTGCTGCTCAGGACACTGTCAGAGTCCCCACCGGCGCCAGAGTCGCCGAGTCCGTCCAACTCTGCCTGGAGCGTTGCAATCTGCTGAATGGCCTTGCGGTAGCGCTGCTCGTGCTTCTCCAGCAGCTTCTTCAGCTTCGTCGCGTCGTTCGTGTCCTGGAAACCGGCACCCCAGATGCGCACCCGTTTATAGCCAAAACCCAAATTGAGAACCGTAAAAGTCTAAGGGCACAAAAACAATGAAAGATGATGTGATGCAAGACTACCATCAAAATTAACCGATTTTGAGGGAGCGTCAAGTTTAAAGAAAGGCTTATTTGTGTGCAAATGCGAGTTGAGTTATAAGAAACCATAACTGATACAATGAGGCATAGCAAGTTAGACTTTGAACCAGTTCTGTCTCCGATCCACTCCTGCACCAGTTTGCAAAGGGCAGCGCCAATAAAGGACAGTATAATTTTAGAATGCGCATGAGACATGCAAAATGAACAAAGTAGAATTACATCCTTTTAAAAGGACCATGAAGGCAATTTAATTTTTTTTTAAAAGAAGGTGTTTTCGGAAGCGTTCAACCAGTGACAAACGGAGGGATCGTTTCAGATTATGCTTTTATACACGGTATGAAACCTATTAATTCACAACTACAACTTCGAAAGATTATCCAACGTTCAAATAAAAATTTTTCATCACATCTCACCACCGAAATTGAAACCAAGAGCGCGTCTATCGTTTGAACCAATCGCCAGACGAGGTGCCCGCTGTCGTCACGCTTCGACGGCGCACTTTAGTTCACCTTTCTGCCGCTGCCTCAGTGGGATCTCAGGCATCGTTCCCGGCGCTATTATTACCACGCCTGTTTGCTCGATTGGTGCGGCACCCAAACTTCTGTTCGGGCTAGAACTTGGTCAACAGTATCTGAGACGTGCCCTGCCATCCATTTCAATCGTCGAATAAAACTTCGAAACTGCCTTCATGGTCCCTTTAAAGGGTTACTCTGGCGATTTTTGAGCTACCCCAAACAAACTATTTTTTTGGGATCACCGGCCTTTACCCTTGACAGTATGCTACTTAGTATCCCAAAATTCAGAATAGTTGTTGTAAAATTGGCAAGTGAAAATGACGTCAAAACCAACATTCAAACATATCTGCGCTTTTTCAGTGCCGTGACTTCAGTAAAAAGCAGGCATGCAGGTCGAGCAGGCAGTCTAAAAATAGACTATGCCAAGCATATGTTCCATGCTGCTGCACGGGTGCTGAAACGGGCTTCCAAAGCATTCATCTGACATCATGAAACTGCTTGTAATCAGTTGGGAACAAAGTCTACAGTCCCAAGAGCGAACCCCTGCCTTCCCCTGACGTCGCTTTTTCACTCTTGCCAGTAGGGACTTTCACTTTGAAAAACACTGCGAGGACCAGAATTGTAAATTCGATAACTTAGCAAAAAAAAAAAATTATTCTGGCCTAATACTTGGGTTACTATTTCAGCGATGTTAGTTGGTGCGTTTAGCAAACTTTCGGGCAAATCGGGGATTTTGAAGAGTACGCTGAAATATCCCTTTAAATGGCCTGAAGTGAGCGGAATGGATGAGGAAACTGGGTCCTCCGGGAACCCATGGAGGCACCCTGGGGAACTCCCGGGTCCCTAGGAATCCAGCTCTCACAATGTAAAGAATCCAATCCGAGGCCTCGCGTTTGGGTAAACGCTGAGCCGTACGGCAACAAGCTTGACAAGGTGCCTTCCCCCCTGGTTCAATTCCCTCGCCGACGGCGAAGAAACTTTGCTCACATTCTCGTTGCACTCCGCACCGACGTCGTCCCCGTGGAGCGCGATGAGGGCCCGGATCGGGCCGAGCAGGCGAGCCACGGCCAGGCGCTGGTCGCTGCCGGGTTCGGCACGGAACTTCTCCAACTCCAGCTGGGCATCTTCCAGGCAGCCCGAAAGGTGGCCCTTCTCGGACTCCAGCTACGAGTTAAATGCGTACAATCTGCGTAAGGCCGTGCTCAAGTCGTAGGATCGCACCAAGAAACGAAACAATGCTTGCTCGCCAAGGAGTTGCAGTAAGCTACTAATGCTGGTGCCTGTCTCGGAAGGCGCCAAAACAGCAAAAATAACAGGTTTGTTCGGTCGTCGAAAAACGCAGAGCTAGATCGGATCGGATTCAGGGAAGCGATTGAGTAGTGCAGCAAGAGTGCAACTTCCAGCAAAAATCAAAATGTGAGTTTCTCAGTTTGGCAAACCATTCTTGCTGGTTCAGGCAAATCATAATTATTATTATTATTAAACAAGATTTTATTGAAAGGGTCTTCTCTAATCAACTGTCCAATCGCATAATCCAACAATAGACCTACCAAGGCCAACTTATTAGTTGACTTTACTGCCATTACAACAAATCAGATGTTTTCCCCTTGGTGTTGATGCTTTTTAACAAATCACTGTCATATTTCTTCTAACAAACATTCTCTCTCTCTCTCCCTTTCTATGTGGTGTAACAATTGAAATGCAAAAACAAACATAAAGGGTCAAAAAACTGCAACAGAGCACTACGAAAATTTGTGACAGGTTCTGCTTTGAAATGCACACTTTTCTTTGTCTCTTACCTGCTCCACCTGTTTCTCCAGCTTCCTGATTTCGGTGAGGTTGAGCTCGCTTAGTAGGTCGCCCACCGTGGAGGGTCTGCAGGTAGTCGATCCTTCCACCTCTGTAATCGGCGAACAGAAACAATCAATAACAAAATAGACAATGTCCACAACTCGCTGCACTACTGTACTAGTGCCAACTGAATCATACACCAGTTGCAGAAATTGCAAAGGCCACATGCAGAGTTTGTAATGATACAAAATAGACAATGTCTTAACGGCTTACTGCACTACTATCAACCGAATCGTACACCAGTCGCAAAATACCCCAAAGGCCACACACAAAGTTCACAATGAACGATGGGAACATACTGTAAGCTCCGGAGAAGGTAGCGCAGTTGCGTGCCTGCCCTCACCCGCTCGCCTGCATCGCTTCTGTCGTCTCTTACAACCGGTTGTATACAGCCAGTTCCGAGTTCCTTTCTGCGCCGCAGAGGGTGCTGGCCGTCTTGCAACAGATCTAGTCGATATTCCTCCACGAAGTACAGCACGCAAAATACCTCTGCTCTCGGCCTCAAGCGTCGAATCAAGGCTGGTTAGCATAACCACTTGTAAACGCTCACGACGGCAAAACACGCCCGTCTGTCAGCTACCCTTGGAACACTTTCGATGTGCATATATCTTATGTATCATTCTTTTACAGTGTGCTTGAAATAATTTTCGCAGTGTTACAAGTGCCCATTTCTCATAGACATTGCATGGATTTGATCTTGCAAATACAGTAAAACCTCGTTATAACAAAATGGGATATAACAAACTAATGGATATAACAAAGCAATCATAATTCCCTTGCTTGCTAATAGTGGGAAGAAATGGACAATGGCTATAACAAACTAATGGTTATAACAAAATAATTACGACCGCTCCTTCAACTTTGTTATAACGAGGTTTTACTGTACTGCAAAACCTTCAGAGTGTTTTCCCGTTGTAAGCAGTTACAAGCAGTTCAAACACAGTCGACCCTAATCAAATGCAAATGTTTGAACCAGCCTTGAAGCTTATAACATTCCTTCAGCATCCCCTTGGAGTTTTGGAAGCGCAGGACTAACTTTCTGCCATGGGCTGGTTGATGAAGTCAGCCTCAATCTGCTTCAGGACAGGGGCCCCCGACTCTCCGTCCTCGTCTTCACCGCGGTTGCTTTCGTCCTGGTTTGAATCTGCCGAGAAACAAACAGCACAAAGAACAGACCATTTTCGATATAGACACAGTCCACTTTGTAGTAAAGTCATAAGAGACTACAGTACATGTTACAACAATAAGTTACTACGAGCGCCAATAAAAAAAGGTGACATCCAACTTGCATATCAAGTCGAAGCACTGTATGAACCTGAACAACTATAACTGAGGCTACAGAGAAACATTTGAATGCCTATAGTGCAAAACTGACACTGCATAATTTCAAAACCTCTAATTAAAAAAAAAAAAAAAGAATTATGGGGAAAATTACTAGAACTAGCAAAGAACAAACCCCATTTAAATATTCCGACTTATTGAGGACTGAGTACAAACCAACTGGCCCAATCAGGAGTGGAGAAAACTCGTCCCAGTAATAGTGAATGAGAGGAACTCTGCTGTCGTAAAAGACATCTGGGGAAAAACCACGAAGGTTTGCAGGAAGTTTATCACATGCTACGGCATTTTCAAGCCCCAGCACTATAGAGAAACTACCCATGTTAACAGAAAGCTATCGTGCATGATCAGTAATGTAGAAAACCAAAGAGTTCGGAACGGTTATTGTCTCTAAAGATTGTTGAATATATAAAAGATAACTAAGAGTACTGTCAATATTCGCACAAAGCTTCCCATATATAAACCCTACTAATCTATGAAGCTCTGCTGTCTTTTACATGAACATTTTAGTAAACAGCCTTGTACTACATACCTAAGCAAAATTACCACTAAACAAACTTTAATAATCACTGAACTTTTGTTAGTGCTAGTTAGAACTTTATAGGTATATAAATAAATAAAATAGAACATCCTGCCATAACAGAGGTCTATGCAGAAAACTAGGGGATTTTTTTACAAAATAACTGTTAAAAATAGTCCACTAAAACACGGCTCAGTTTTGCACAGGATTTGTCACATGCTAAGCTCAAACTTGCCAACGTTGAACTATGTCATTAAAGGGTGTTCTTAGTAACGGGGGATTTTAATATAAATTCAGGCAATTCTGCCTAGATACTAACTCAGGTCCAAAGTTTATGCACAATAGATAGCGAAAGATGTTAAGGTAACATTGACCAACCCCATTTTATCTTTTGCATGGCACTCCCTATGCAAACATGCCTCCCTATCAGCCTTGACATCAAGCCTGTGCCTTGCAAAGATTAGAAATGAAACACACTTTTGATGTGAGTGGGATTCAAAGGGCACCGCTATCAGATAAGAATGGTGTGCATCCTTGGGTAGAACCGAGATAACAACTCCTCATCATCCCGACATTCAAACGGCAGCGAGACGCCAACCGGTGAGTGCTACTTCCTTGATCTCTTGACTTTCACTGTTCAGAACTCTGAAACGCTCGAAGCAACCTATAATCACTAAACCTAGGACTGGCTAAAATTAATTCATGCAATTGTGCAATTAGAGTCTATGATGGGATAACCATGCCAATCTGAAGTGTTAGATACCTTGTGTTTGAGAAAATCTCAGCTAGTTCCCTTCATTTTATTGAGTCATTTATATGAAGCTACAACGGGTATGAACATACATGCATGTTTCCTAAATGAACGAAGTGTTCATTTAGGAAAGTGAGGGGATTCACTGACATGAATACTGATTCATTATTTTGCAAGGAACAAAATTAACAAGTGGGATTTGGGGGTAGAAAATTTCATTAAAAGATGAAATTGGGACTCTCAGCAGTGGCCCAACTTATTTGGGAACTGAATTTTGCTAAGGACAATGGGAAGGTAGGGGATGGACATTCTGAAATTGCTATGCATCGGGGAAAATAATTTGAAAAAAATTGTGCTTTCCACGTGCACATAGTAAGTAGGCCCAAGTAAGTTTCATGAAGTTGCAGTTTTCCCAAATTAAAAAAAAAAACTATGCCAAGCTTCAGGGTGATCCGGCTTCATAAGATCATTTAGCAAGTCACAAGGTCTGGTTGTGTCACTCCAGGCCACGATTCTATGCATGCATAATTAAATGTTATATGCACCCTTTATGAAGTTATGTGCACACATCAAATCCAAGCGAAAAGTAATATATGAATATTATGTATTTTGCTACCTACAGGAACTTGTTAATATATCCACTTCAAATTATTTATATTTCACAAAGCTTGTAAAGAGTTCAAAATTATCACTGGCAAAGAGTTTGAAAAACATCAATGGCCTCCACATAAAACCCATCTTCAACCTTAAAGAAAAAAGAAACTTTGGATAAACTTTGCTTAGAGCGAAGGCCCACGTCCAAGGCTTACACTGTGGCTGATAACTTTCTGAGCTCGTCCAAAGATAAGAATCAGGTAAAACTTACGAACGAGTGTTTGCGGGTGAAAGATATCCGAGCTAACATTAGACAGGGGTAGTGTGGAAGAGGCGTCCGTCAGCCCTACAGCCCCTTGATGTTTCTTTTTGCAGAAACAAGGTGTTTGCAAGTACCATTCAGTCTTAAAAATAACTAAAAATTAAAAGAATGAACTTATAAATAATTTCAAAAGCAGAGTGCAAAGGAAATTTTCACGAAAGTGTCTTTATGTGGTGCATTTATCATATTCAAACTTTGTAACTGTAGCTTTCCACCACATGAAACAAACACTTGAAAGCTATGAGCACCCAAAAGCAGATCTGGCAGTTCTGAGCACGTGTGGTACCATCTGCAAGTAGACTGCTCATTACCATTTCACTCACTGTGCACAGAAATTAATTTTTATTTTCCTGCATTTTTTTCCAGAAACCTATTTGCAGCGAGAAGTGTGGGTATCGCCACCTGGTTGAATTTTTTCACAGCCCAGAGTGAGGATACTTCAACTTCCTCTGCTGGTGCAAGCAAGTGCAATGCCAAGCTTCTATGCACTATGAAAATTAAAACATAACTGCATGGGTAGCACGTGCACTACATATAGTGAGGAAAACAGAAGCGCCCTAGCAAGCCTCTCACCGCGAATACTTACGTAATTTTCGTATGAAAAATGCACCACCCAGGCAACCAAGCAAAACTCTTCACTGCACTCTGCTGAATGGCTTATTTATATCCTTTTATTTACGACTGAATGGTGCTCTGGAACATCCTGTAGAAAAGTGCGCGATGCACGACAGAGGGGGTGTTACAGCACTGAACAGAGCAATCAAGATGCTGACCAGAGCAATCGCGACATGAACCTCATTCATTCCCGCAACAATAAATGAGGCAGCTCGTAAGAAGATCAAAGTGAGAGGTTCACCGAGGGGTTTTCGTTCAGCTAGTCGAATTTCAGTCAAGTATCTCTAGGTCTGCTGGTGTTCTTGAGTCTACGCCTTCTTCGTTACTTTCGTTGACACAAAGCGACACCTCTGTACGTGGTCAAGGGGAGAGTTGGCTTTTGCTCCAAGTTTCATCAGTTTCACAAGTTAGTTACATTTGCACATGTTTCGCTCTACTGGAGGCTGCAGGCTCTTTATATTGTGACAGAAACTGGTGCATGGCAACGAAAAAGAATGAAACTGATGGCATACCTATTAGGTGCATCTAAAAAGTTTTATACAGATACAAGTTCATTGCAACTCTCAACTCTTTGTTTGAACAAACATCCGTTTGCATTATAGCAAGAAGTACAAGCCACACATTAGTGAAGTAATAGTTTCACCCCTGCTGCATGAAACTGAGAACAATTTACACCTAACGAAACTTAATGGCCGACATACTACCTTGGTTTTCTGCGCGGAAGAAAATCCTCTTAGCGCTCCCCTCTCCTAAGCTGCTAGAGAAGTCAAACAGGCGCAAAGTAAAAAGTGGAGAGGATACAGGAAAGGAGGAGGCAGGCAAAAGCGGAAAGTGCAAAAGGACGTCTGCTTTTAAAATGACTATTGGTTTTGAAGATGGCCCTTGTAATAGTCCCTTGTATTTACTACTTACATAACTAAAACAAGAATTTTGAACTCCCACATTAGTACGCTTTTTCTTCTTCGGCTTCCCAGCCATAAGACGCTTCTCACTAATTTGGCATTTCTCAGGCACCTTTTACAGTGAAAAAGAATTTGACGAAATATGGCTTAACAACAATTTTTTGTCAATTTCAGATACTAAAGGTTAACTTTCTCCTTCAGTATGCTTAGGAATGTTCGATTGTAAGTGGATATAATGCAAGTACAGAAGTCGTCCCCTAGTTGAGGAGTATAGTGTGCAAGCTAATAACGCTTAGAGAAGGCCTAAAAGCAAGTGCAGTCAACACTGAAAACAAGGTATGCACATAAGTGGTAGAACAAGGTTAAAACCTGTAGCGTATGCCTAGCCTAGAAAAAAGCTAGCTATGTGGCAGTCCCAGGCCGTCCCTTTGCCTCTGCCGTTTCCATTACAGGACGAAAGACATCCCCTGAAGAGACTGAATGGAAGTTCCTGCATCAACTGACAACAATCCATTTCTCTTCAAAATAAAAACGTCTAAATGTTTGTTTTTCAGTATCACAACTGGTTCTCAAAAAGAACTGTTCTCTGCTTCACTGTTTTGTTTGGCGTTGGACAACAGTTACCAATAGCATTGCAGTGACAGAGTGCAGTGTTAAAGGGGCCATGAAACTGTCGAATCCGAACGTTGCACGGTTTACACAAGCATGCTGACACAAATGTGACAAGTATACTCGTGTGGAGCGTCAACAAACCAGAAGCTTTTGCATTGCGGTGTAATTTCAAAGATAAAAGCAGCCAACTTTTTGCAATTTCTACTTTGCAAAGTTTGATGACACAGTCGTGGGAATCACCATGTTGATATACGCACAGAGATCACCCTGGGGTGATGAGAGGCAAACGCGGCTCGTCGATCAGACACCGGCCTCTTGCGTGCACTCAATCAGTGTTCAGCCCTTTGGCAGACTTTCAAGGTGGGGCTTGTGCTCAATCACAACGGTGACCAGGATACCCAAACTCTACCGACGTTTGGAGCACAGCGCGTGCCCCGATATGTTGCAGATCCCACCGTGTGGTGACAACTAACTCTGGCAGTGTGTAATCGGCACCATATCACGAGACCACTCATTCTGGCAGCGGGCTCGGGGAGTGAACATCACTCGTGTTTCTCCAATTTGTTTCTGCAGCTGCTGGTGAGTCCGAGAGGAAAACTAAAGGAAGTTTCGCAAGTTACAAACATCGAGAGTTAATTTCAGACAAAGACGTCATGCCGTTAAATAAATTTTAAGCAGCTGCGTGTTACCCCCCGTAGTATCGTCTCAGCAACACTTCTAGTAAATAAATATATTAAGCACCAGAAAAACACTTTAATGTCCCTAATGTTAAAATATATTGATACCGTTCTTGTAAGTGTATGGCAGCATTTAAGTCAATGACTAGTTTAGAGTTGCAGAGAGTGTCGTTCAGTTGACCCTCACAACCTTCGAGGGCACATCAGTATCTCGGGAACTTGAATGACCACACGCACACACTCACTGCCTTTAAAAACTGTGAGTCTGTGCTTATGTTTCAGTCTGTCAACAACTACAGAAAGCTACTGTTGCATTCCCAAAAGTGATAGAGATTGTCCGCACAAGTTTTGTGAGACGCAATATCTGAACCTGCTTTCTCCCCCACCAGACACCGAACCAAGGTCAGCAAACTACAGCAGCACTACAAAAAGGACAGAAACAAGTAGACAACAAACTCACCGTTTATTACGTTGCAATAAAGGCAAATGGGTCCCTGATCGTATCTTACTTGTAATACGAAGAACAAAATCAAAACAGCATCTTCGGCTTGTCCCCCAAAAAGTGTGCGCACTACACAACGACTGCGAAAGTGTTTCATCTAAAACAAGTTTGGTGTCGCAGTCATCTTACTTTAATTTATATAAAAATGGAAATCATCTACCATATAAGAACTTCACAAAAAGAATAACAGGAAGAGCTCGAACAAAGAAGTCGAGCAACAATGGCACAGCCATCACTGGTTTGGCCCACTCTCCAGTCATTCACTGAAATCTCGAGCCTATCAGAAGAAGCCATCCAACAAAACGTACAAACAATTCCTCACAAAAATAAAAACACAACATTAAACGAAAACGAGCGGCTAAAACTATTCATCAAATCGAATCACGCCGCCAAAAGAAAACACAACAGTGAAGTGCAAGTTGGCAACAATTAAAAAAATATCACAGTATTCACAGGTAAAAAAAAAAAAAATGTTCAAGGTGCAAACACGGCGTCCACAAGAATACAGGTAACCCTGGTGGCCAGTTTGCGACCCCTGCAATGCCACGAATGCTGTTTCCTTCCCAGGGAATGCAGACTAGCCCCGAGGGGGGTCAGGTAAGCCCCTACCACACTACCCTCCGCACTCCCATCCCCCAGTCCTCCAAAGTGGGGAAGGGTGTCCCCAAGGCCAGTAAACGAGAGAGAGCTACAGCTGGAGCGAGAGGAATCCAGCCCATTAGCTTCAAAATGCCAAGTTTGTTCGTTCTTGCCGTTGTTCGGAGCCGCAACGTTTCTTCCGTCTGTTCCTACAGGCTTCCGAGACCCCAGCACCGTGCATCCAGCCAAAGAACCAATCTTACCGAGGGTCTGATCTTGAATCGCTCGATTTGCAATCTTTGCTTCGGCTTCTGTTGTTCCTGAACTTTGCAATCCTACGGGGTATGTGTGATGATGAACATGTGCTTGTTTGGAAGTATGACCGCCAATGACGCCGTGCGTAGCCGCAAGGCAAGAAGATCCGACCCCCACGCACCCGTGTTCAAACTCCTCGCAACGTACACGACCTGCGGGCCTCATATCCTTGGTGCACCTCACATTTCCGCAGCTTGCAAAGCGATCAAAAGCCACGCAGCAGCAGGCAGCTTTGCACAGCCTGCCGCGGAGGCAGCAATGCGTGGAAAAACACGGCGCGGAATTGTTGCTGATTCGACAATTTAGACAATAACCCCAACCTGCCGAAGCAATATCGCAACTGGCCTCACAAGCGCTTGGACAATGGAAGTCCCGACCGAAATCGCTCGGGGGTACCGACGCGGCTACTATGCATGCCCCATCCGCGATACCTGGAACGGCGCGAATTCGTACTCTCCGCCTGGCTCTGCTTCGTAGACGAACATGAATCGCGTGATGGACTTCCGCAATTGATCCGAGATGAAAGAATGGGACGAAGGGGCTTACTTCCGAGGCGGAAACCGGCGAAGGAGAGTCCGTCGAGGTGGAACACGGGCGACTCCGCGGTGAGCCGCTGGTCCAACTCGCGGCGGAGCGCATACTTCTGTTCGCGCTCCGACTGGAGCGCCTCCAGCGCTTCCTCGAGCTGCTGCTCTCCGATGCGCCTCAGCGACCCCAGCTCTTCCAGCTGGGCATTCAGCGACTCCACTTCCTCTTTCAGGTGCCGGACCTCGTGCTTCGCTCCCTCAAACTCCACCTGTGCCGAGGAACGACAATGTGTTTTGTTATCCGGATGACAGAAGACACGGGTGAAAACCCGCGTCCTCATTGTCCTAACATAGTTGGTCCCTTTTTCGTTTTCACATTTTAGACATGCTCGGTGTTTGCCGCTGCTTAGTTGGTTGGTGGAACCACACTGGCGGCATCGTAGTGCCGGCTGCCGACTCTCGTGGCAACACCGTATCACTTTATCCAGCGTTGTACCAACAGCTGATCAACGTAAAAACTGCAGTAGTTGCCTCGTGACGACATTCCACATGCCTGTTGGCCTGCACTGCTAGCAAACTTCATCAGTGCCATCACAAACGTGCTCAGAAAGAAACAAACAAATAGCCTCTTTATTTAACCTTATTTAGATTTGCTATATGCCTTTGGAAGGGCTTTGTTGCCAATTGTCTCACGTTGGGAGTTTACTCGGTTACTTAAGGAAAGTATTATAAGGGACAACTGAAGTTATTATTACTTCATTTTCCCATACCATAACCTGTGCCTAATAGCTGGAAACCAACTAAGTAGTCAAATCAACAATATTAGGAAAATTCTCACTTTCTCAATTTGAGTGTCAAGCACTCGTGGCAAAAAACAAATGAAGCGTGACGGAAAATTACGCTCAGCACCAATTTAGAAACCTTGGTAGGGCATCTGCGATGTTGTTCAAAGGCTTCTCAAATTGGTCTTGCTCAAAAGCTCGGCCAAAATAAGCTTCAGCCATCTCACGCTTATAGTATGTACCAGTATCTTCCGGTCTAAGTCCGCACCCCATTAGAGACTCAGCTTTGAACGGGCATCACGCGGCAAAAATGTAGCCATGCTCTGGAGCGTCTTCGGACTGCCCAGCCAGGTGCTCTACTGTTCCTCCTTTGTCATGAATGTTGATGCGGCCTATATCTAGCGCAGTTGAGGCCAGTACCGTACAAGTTACACCATTGTACAAGACGCAATGACGAAAATTTGAGAAAATAAAGTCGGACTTATATGCCAGAACGTATGGACCGCGTCTCGTCTCCGACTAGATAATGTTTTAGCATTCCATTATCGATGCGAGTTTGCTTTGCCAGCCTGTTCGACATTCAGGACCGCAAACTTTGAAGGAACATTTAAGAAATTCAGCAGTTTGAGTAGAGCTTGAAAAGTAAATAAAAAACGTTCAGCCTTTCCACTCTCGTGAAGAAGGAAGACCAGCGGACCTGCACTCGATACACTGTGTGCTTCTTCGTCGTTGTATGTTTTTCGCGCTGTTTCCTACGATGAATTCCCACCAATGCGCCCAACTATCCATTCTTCTATTATAGCTGGAAAGGTTACTGCCATCTAGAAACGGCGGCGGAAACCATACTGGTTGTGTGCTTGCTGCCGTCGCTTATAGATGTAGCTGTCCAGGTAGGCTTGTGTCGACATACATGGACACAATCCTGGGGAACCTAGCCCTTAACAGCTCCGCTGTAAAAAAGAGGGCTATTATAGTTTCCAGTCTATAGTCCGCAAGGGCAAATTTGGGATCAAAAATAAAAGTTTTTGCTTAGATAGTGCACACGCCGTGCATAGTCCGCACTTAATGCTTAGTTGGCATGAAAAACTTCCCATGCACGGCACACCTTGACAAATGTCTGCCTTCTTAGCTCAAAGAAGCTTGCATTATACATAAATTATCATTAACATACCCTTTCATTCACAAAATCCGTCACGTCTCGTCATAATGAACAATCTTAAAAAACAATATTCCTGCATAGTCCGCACGCATGGATAGTCCGCACAACCTAAATTTCAGCTATTAAGCATGTATAGTCTGCGGACAATAGCCCGGAAAATATGGTACTAGTTCATACCTTTCTTTTTCGCTCATGGTCATGCATCATGCAAGAGCAGAAAAAAACCTTGAAGTGGTTTAGTCTAAATACACGTTCCAAGTTTTCCAACACAGGAGACATTATTTGCTCACCTGAGACGAGCGCAACGAGGACACCTGCTTCTGCAGCGAGATGTTCTCTTCCTCGAGCTCGTTGTTGTCCGTGAGGAGCCTCTGCTCCCTGAGCTTCATGTCCTTGAGCTCAGAGCGCAGGTTCTTGCGTTCCCAGTCCGACACATCCCCGTGCTTCGAGATCTCAAAGTTCTCGTTCTGAAGACGTTCCCTCTCCGCCAGCACCCGACTGAGCTCCTGACGAACCTGGAATGAGAAGCAAACAACGGGAAGTCCCCGTTACGTTACGATTAAGTAGACTGGCTTACCTCTATGTGGAGTCAAAATAATTCCACAAAACTGAAACTTAAAGGGCAACGCCGGTCAATATTTTTTAAATTTGGGATTAGGACTATTTTCAGCTAAAGGAATGTCCCTAAATTACGAGATATAATTTTATTTTATTTTCTAACGATTTTGTGTAGCTTTATAAATATCACGGCTCAAAGTTTGATTTCCGGCGTCTACGGAAAAACCGGAACCGTCTGCTAGAGGGATGGCAACACTGATCATCAGCTGTATGACCACGATGTGATGTCACCGTGGTGCTGCAGTACGCGGTACAACCAATTAACTGCACCTCAACTGCGACGTGTTGTCACGGGGGTGCTACGCCGGTGTTCTTCGACTAAAAGCTAACCTGCTTGTCGCTCGCTAAAGTGCAGCTGGTCGCACCTTTAAAATCGGTCGCAGCAGAGTATGTGGCCTCAATCTGACGCAATATTTCGGCTGTGATCATTATTCGTGCCCTCCCAAAAGCGATTCAGTCATTTACTTTTGTTTCATTTTCGACTGGAGTTGCTCTTTAAAGGAACAGCGAACCTCCCCCCTCCCCTCCAAACGTTTTCTTTAAAGGCCGCCGTACAGTTCGCGCTTTCCACTTTTTCTGCGTTTCCTCCTCTCCTGCCCTCCTTTCCTTCCTTCACCGCCTTCCCCCCCGGGGGGGACAACACGGAGAATGGATTAGGAGATGCCTCCGTTAATCCGGCCTAACCCGCCGAAGAGGGGGCCTGCTGCTTGACCAAAAATTATTTCGCTGCCCGAAAAAAAAAAAAAAAACTCCGCAGGCAGCGATTGGTTGCGCTAAGCTGGTATGCATTGGACTAACATTTTTCGAAGCGCGGCAGGTTTAGTGTAGGTCCTATCATATGGTCCTGCAAGACTTCCCTGTCCGCCACAAGCTAGCCAATAATTCAAGAACATAACGACGGCAGCGTATTCAAACAGTGTAAAATAAAATGTAGATAATATTTATAAGAACACCGTCGTCTTCACTGCTTGGCTTTCAAATTTTTTGCGTTGCGAATAATCGTAATCAAAATATTTTTGTGATTGAAGACCCCTCGTTGTGCATCGACCCCAAGATTACGCTTACGTGAAACATGATTCTGCGTGGGAGCAGCTCAAGTCACCGTAAACTTTTTTTTTTTTTTTTTTCATCTTGGATTTTGCTTCTTAATTTAGCTGAGGTACCACTGGCAGAACACGAATCGCATACTTGGAAGGTATATACTGTCTGAAAACTCATATAGCTGGTTGAGTGAATGCAATACTATCGCATTCGTTGAAGCTTGATTTGTTGATTCCAACTTCAACAAATCACACGCACCCATTCTCCCTATTCCTGTTTACCCAGTCATAGTCGTTCCCTCACGATTCAATACAAGTACAAGTAACTGCAGTTTATGCATTGTTGACGTTGCACAGCCGTGATCGCACGGTTTTTAGAAGCGCTATAGAACGAGCACAAGCGTCGAATTCCAGTACACTGATTGATTTCTCTCTCACCGCCGTGACGCCACACGAGAAAAGCGATTTCGTTCTGTCTGTGAAATTAGGAACACAGAAATCAAGCTGTAATCCCGGTGATAAATCAAAGCGAAATGGATCTGTGCAGCCAATACCCAACCGTTTGCGAGGTGACTAGGCGAAAGCGTATATTACCTCCGTGCCTTTGCCCTCTGCACACCGCCAGAGAGAGTCATACAAACTCCTTGTAGTTATTGTCAACACGATTGCGTTTGCAAGCCGGTAGTTTGACTCGGCTGGGATTCGTCCCTTTCGTAGCTTTCTATGAAACCAGAAAGGTAGATACTTTTCTACATTGGGTGGGTTTGCCCGGGGCCTCCAGTTATTTACGGCCAAAACCACACTGGAGGCGCTTCAGCAATGTTCACTCTGGTCGACACACGTGCACTCTAAAAACGAGAGTCGTCTGCCTTCCCAAAGGATACTTGAAGAGCCAATCATAGAAACCGACGGATAACGAGGCCGAAATTATGCTTGTACCTCAAAACAATTATAACACAAATTTGGCCTCGTCATTCCCAAACTGGTTGCCGGACAAAATTCTCTATGCGTATTGCAAGCCAGGATTGGTAATAGTAACATAAGATACGTACGGCAGAATTCCCTGCCATAAATAAAATTATTTGGCTGACGCCAAAGTAGCGCGAAATAGGTGCAAAGAGTTTTGCAAAAGAGAGCGTAAACCGAAAAAAGGGGAAAAAAAAAAAAGACGAAAAGGAGAAATAAAAAAAAAACAAATCTCTGGTGACGTGGCCAAAAAAAATTCTGTTTATGTGCTTTTTATTGTCACGTGACCGAACAAAAAAAAATAAACGAAATAAAAAAAAGAACACGAGAAAAAAACCATCCCCTGCCCGGTTTCGAAGCTAGGCCCTCTTGATCGTGAAACTAGCGCGCTATTCGTTGCGCCTAGTTACGCCAACATAACTTTGTTTTTTCTTTCTTTATTGCAAGTTGCGCCAACATAACTCCGCCTGTAATGCTCACGCATTCTCACATCATAGGAGAAAGCTTAGGTGCCTTCGTAGTTTTTCATGTATTTGTTATTTTTATTTGTGGCAAGAGTTCACGTTTCAGAATGCTTTCAGAGTTTTGGAGCAAAACGAGTTTTCTTCATCCGAGTCACCTTCTAGAGCCAGTAGACCGCACTGGGTCCTCCGGCTAATCAAGCAGCTATTTTCAAATTCTCTGACGTGCCCGTCCTCGCAACCGAGGTCGCCGTTTGACAAGCTCATCTTCCACCTGGTAGCCGGAACCCCCAGCAAAGCGCACATGAAGGCTCCCTACCCACGGCAGCTTTGTTCCGTCCCCACTCCCTCTCGAGAGGATGGCCTCGCCGCGAGGCTAATCCCATTCCACCCAACGCTGGCCCTTTCCCTCCCCGTCTCCAGCTTCGGGAGAGAAGGTTCTTCCCTGCAGAACGTCCCGTTTGTACAGCGGCCTTTAAGTGCCTGGACGGGACAGGTATGGCGCAAGATGGACCTCTCTTTGCTGCAACATTTAGACTGCGAGACTCAAGTGAGCGATTCTGAGATAACCCTCCATTTCCGGATCACTGTCTTGAAATAGGATAATATTTTGAAATTGCTCCTTACTCAAATGTGTCTCAAAACATAAATACTGTCCAAACATTTTTTTTTTTTTTTTTAAGAGGGGGGGGCATAGTTCATTTTGTAAAAAGTGTATTCTGAGAATTTGTGCGCCTTCAATGCCAACTCACAAAGCTGCATATTAGTGCCTTTGACCACAACACAAGGTACAACCACCAGCGACCAAAACATCCTTTCTTTGTATACCTTGTGCATACAAAGAATGGATGCCCCGGTTGCTTCGCAGGTTGCCACCTCGAGGCACGCATGTGAAACGTGGCAACCAATCTAAGGAGCAGCTCTTTGGAATGGTTGCCACGCTTCATATGAAGCATGGATGTCTTGGAGATTTGTGTTCATGAAGGCCCGTTCATACAGGAGCGTTCGCTTATGTCTTCTTACGTTACCAGTCACCCAAACGTCCCTGCCTCGAATGTCGTGTGCAAGGCTAATCCTTGAACTGAATGCCATGCTTGATAAGAAGCACAGATGTCTCGGTGACTCTCGAGGCAAGCAGACGCAAGCTTCGGTAACATAACGTAACGTGAGCAGACGGTGCTGTGCGAATCGGTCTTAACTCGACATGTGTCCTCGCAACATATTCAAATGACACTTTAACTGATATTTGGAAATGAATATACAATACTCCAAGAGGAGGTTAAAAGCCTCCCGACAAGGCATCGAGCAGACCTAGACTTTCATGGAAACACTACCCACGAGCGCCCATCAAACGAGAAAAATATTCGAGACTCGAGATCATACCTCTTCATTTATAAACATGTAGAATTTAATAAACAACATTTTTATAACCACTGAAGCACCCAAAACATGACGATCTAAAGCATTGGACATATAGTAGTAGCTGCTGAGGGCGAACCAATCCTTAAAACCTTATTGGAGCTATCCTACATATCATCATGCAATGATCACATACATAAAGTAGAAATTCCACAGTGCCACACTGATAGCTACTACAGATCATTCATACCTCATACGTCTGCTGACTGGAATCACCTTTCCAGATCCATCGCCACAATTGTTAATCCTGTTGATATAAAAAATGCTGTATCCGTAGTACTAGAACTTGATTCATGATTTGAGTGTTTTATTAACTTGTATGTTACAATCCCACTCCTTCTGCAATGCCTTCGGGCCCTGAGGGTATCGATAAATGAAATGAAAATGAAAAATCTCCAATGTCACATTCCTCTGCAGTGATCCCCCAATTTCGGCACGACACAGATTGTTGCTCTAGGCTAATCTACGACTCTGCGGCTAAAAATTAGCTGGGTAGTATTTGACCACTTGATCCTTGCTATTTGAGCAAAATATAACTGAGCTTTCTAGGGTGTCAGAGGCATTTTGAGGACAATTAAGAGTGCTTGCACCTCGAGCCAATGACTTGAGGAATAACCTTTGTTCCAACCAGGCTTTTGAAGTATGCATAAAAAAAAAAGCAAGATGTTTACAACTTCCTGTAATGCCGAAGTAAGTGCAGCTCTTGAGGAGGAGGACGGAAGGGAGGAGGAGGAGGAGAAGGGAAGAGGGGAGGAGGAGATGAGGAGTACAGGAGGAGGAGGAGGAGGGAAGATGCCAGCTACCCGTTGTGCAGGCAAGTGATATCACCGTTCATAAATCCTCCCCCTCCTCCCTCCTCCTCCCCGCGCATTGCATCATAGAACAATTCCCATAATGCACCGCGCGGTTCCGCTAACGCCGATGGCGACGCAACTCAAGCCGGAAACGGGCACCTAAGAGCTGCGCTCTCAACAGCTCTAGTTAATGCTTGCACAATTAGTGCTTCTCTATGTAAGGGCACAGAGTGCACATACCTGCTTCAGCTCTTTTTCGAGCTCTTGAAGAGAAGAGGTGAGCGACGCCTCTTTGGTTGCAGTCTCCTGGAGAAGGCTTTCCTCCTGCTCGATGCCAGTGGTCGTGGTGACCTTCTGGCTCGTCTGCACCTTGGCCAAGGCCTGCCAAAAGAAAGTGCCCAGAGATCTCGACTCAACATGGTGTGAACTGCATCCCACACTTCCGGTTGCCAGAATGTGCCGAAAAGTGCAAATACACTTCCGCTGTTAAGCATTAAATAAAGAATTACGTGCAAAAAAAAAATCTCAATGTTTTGTTGTTTTTTAGGGAGAAAAATTAGCTGTTCTTATTATTTCTTTTACACCAGTTTCCTACTCATTTGAAACTATTACGATCAAATATTTTTATGCTAATTTTGATAATAATATGCAAAGAAGATAAGCACAATAGACATTTTATAAGAAATTCAATTATTATAGTAAACAATTACATTAGGAAAGTGATTTCTTATATCAAAGCACTGAATGGGCCACCTTCCTTTTGAGAAATACTGCACTTTCCAACCAACTACTTCCACAATGCAGAATTGAGGGGGAAGATATTAACTCTAATGTTAACACACACAAAAAAAAAACTATAGCAAACCACAAAAAAAAAGAGCATAAAGCAATGAAATAAGCAACTGTTAGTTCTAAATTTCTAATGTATTTTTTATTGTTTACTCTTATTGTTGTTGGTGTACTTATTGTTTAAAAAGATTGTTATACATTTTTTTAAACCACTTTGTAGCATTGAGTAATTATGCAACCTAACGAAATAATTTAATTTACAGCTGGGAGTAATTGCAAGTTTGACCAATCACTTTTTGCTGTGGGCAAGAGGTCAAACAAAATGCTAGAAATGCTCATCTTATGAGGAAGATTTCGGACAAAACAGCTTGCAAAGCTAGGACCTTGTGCCTGGAATCTTGTTCATGTTATCCTTCACAGTTGGTTGCCTTTCATTTTTTATACTTAGTACTACAGTGTTCATGGGACTTGGCTGTTTGCTATACTTTTTGGTACTGTAAAAATCGGTGTCCCAAGCTGTTCTCCTCATCACTTGTAATATTCCATTACACACTCTCAACTTTTTGGTTAGTTTAATAGCGACAACACATTCCCTATATTGGTTCATATTTTAAAATGCATTGCTAGTCTGTTGCTTAATCTTGCAGCACCACAAGTTCACAGCGTTCGGCACCGTTACAAAATACAGGGTGTCTTTTTTAAGCTAAAGCAGTCTCCCTAAATTACAAGGAATAACAGCAGCTGGTTGCATCTTTAAAATCGGTTTTAGTGCAGTATTTGGCTTCACATTAACATAATATCTCGGCTGTGATAATATTTCGTGACACAGCCCTACCAGTTATTTATTTTGGTCTTGTTTTCGACCGGTGTTTCCTTTTAACAGAATTGTTTAAAAAAAGTTGTGACAGCTACGCCTTTGTGGTTTGTGCAGGTGAGTTATATGGGCAAGGGGTCATAGTATACGGGGCTAATTGTAACTATCAGTCGGCTAATTAAGCCAAATTTGTTAATTGACTGTTTTAGTTAGTGAAAATCAACATATGGTTCCAATTAAAAACTTGTTGAGCGTCATCGAAAACCACTAAATCAATTTTAGAAAGACTTTTAATGCGTGAAAAGCGCAGTAGTGAGCTGGAGTTATCACTTGTGCAGCAGGAGCGAGGCTACTGGTGCGATAATGCGCCGGTGCAAGTTTTCCCTCTCTTATTATGGCTCCAGCCTTGTACCAGCAGCATGATCGGTACCTTTAGCACACCACTACGCTTCCCACATGCTCAAAGTATTTCTAAAAATTACAGATTTAGTGATTTTTGATGACGCTCAACAAATTTCTAATTGGAACCTAATGTCTATTTTCACTAATTAAAGATATAATTAACCACTTTTACTTAATTAGCCGACTGATCGTTACGATTATCTCCCTATGCTATGTCCCCGTGGCCTTATAATTCACCTGCACAAACCACATAAGTGTAGCTTTCACAGCTTTTTTTAAACAAATCAGTTAAGCCTAAAAAGAAAAAAAGAAAAAACACCCTGTATATGCCGATTCATACTGCGAAGTTTAAAGACAAATAAATGCTGCAAGCCAAGATCCCCAATTATGTTACACAATGACTATTCTAATGTGGTTCAATGCGATTGGAGAAAAAAACTACAGAACATATCCCGACATCATAGTCTATTCGAACCAGATAATTGAAATGCCTTACAGTGAATAGAAGCAATGTTCACACCTGATCAACATCTCAAGGAACCTTCGACACAGTAACACTGTTCTCCCCCCCCCCCAAAAAAAAAGCAATGACCCCAGTCACTCGATACGGCATTGCATCAATGTTAAGTCTAAAGGACTGCCATCAACTATTCCCTAGCAGCTAAGAGATGAGCTTCATTGGCACAACAATTTAATGCCCTGTTCCCATTTTCAAATTACTTTGAATGCCTACCTCACATACTGCACAGTCTCAATATCATTGGATACCTCTTGCCATTTGACAAGAGCATTAGGAGCACCAATGTTGTCAATAATGTTTCAATTCCTCATCATTTTGACATTGAGCTTTCCTTTAACACACACGGGGGTAGAGATGCTTCACTGCTCTGCTGTTCATAAAGTCCCATCTCAGGGACAGCTGTAGGGAATAGCTGACACTTTATAAGCAACTCCCTGAAAAGCTCACTCTACTCAAACCAGAAGGTAAGGTGCTGAGATTAAATAACACTGATCAGCCTTGAGCAATGCTGGCGAGTGGTAAAAAGAATACCAGGCCATCACATCAAGCCAAGTCGTGTTCAGGTGGTATATCTGCCAAGAGATATTTTTTAAACTTCCTAATTACATAGGTAGCTCTTAAACGAGCAAACCGATTTTCTTGAATGTTGTTTCATTTGAATGAGAGCGAGAAAGACAAATTTTCTTCCATGAAAAAAACCATCTGGATAATTCAGTAGTTGTCTCAGTAAATATTTGCTACTCATTAAGGAAAAAAAATTCAGAGCATGATATTACAATCTTGAAACAAAAACTTACAAGTTTTTCATTTATAATAAAATAAAGTTAAAAGAAATTGGGTCAGTATTTTGGAATTATGAAACTACCTGAAAACTTTCCCATGAAGAGTGCATTAAGTTGTAGCAGCTGATATGCGCGCTCAATTTAAGAGCAACCAACTCGGGACAAATACTCTTCTTAAGCTTCAATGCAGTCTTGCAGCTCAAAGATCAGCAACTTTTGTCATTCTAATGAAAGTAAAATTATAAACTTTCATCAGGCACCGTCCCATTCATACGTCAATGGCAGATGAAAATGCCTTTGCCGTTCAGTTTTTTCCTGATTCGTTTCAGTTTCGACGGTGACAAAAAGTGTAGCAGTTTCTTCAAAGCGCTGACCTAAATACACTCCTTGATAAAAAAAAAAATTCACGACATCAAGAGGTTTGTGGGTCGAGCGTCCACCGATTGATTGATTGATTGGACTCAAGTCTGAAACAAACACTGAAGCAGAGCTTTTATCCAATTTGTGCGTTGCATTGTGCCAACGTCTGGAATGCACAGGCTTTGTGTTATCCACTTTGGTGCCAGTCTTCAATCCCTTTCTTCATCAACCACCAAAAGACAGCTATTAGCATGCTACAGATCTCACACACTCAGATGATTACTGACTCACCTAAAGGTTGATAGTCATCGAAGTGACCAGAATGAATTTCGATAAGCATCCATTACTGTCGAAAATTGTTTTCCACAGACCTCGGTGTTTACCCAACACATCACCTGTGCACTGGGTTCTTTTAGTTATTCCCCTGGATCAAGCACGGGGCAGGGTGCCCACAGCAAATGTTCGATGTTGTACCCAACACCAAACATTCACAGGTACAACTGTTGTCACTACCAACAGTGTTGGGAAGAACTTCCGGTACATTGTACTTAAGGTATTACTTTTCCAGGTTTTCCCAGACAATATCAAGTGACATTCTCTGATCACTGTAGAGGCAGTTAAATATACAAGACCATTGCAACACAAGGTATTGAGCACTGAGCACTGTGAGGATCATGTTGCACGGGCTTAATCCAACTTGCATATTCCGAAATATCTGGGTTTGTCCAATCTGAATTAGACAAGCTTTCTTGCCGCTGACATCGTCAGTGAAGAGGCCGCTTCCGGAAATCCGATGAAAACACGATGCTCAACCACACATGTCAATAACCATATGGCAGCATGGCCGCCAGATTCACACTTTCGGATACTTTTGGCTTAAGGCTTGGATTGGGGTCTGCGGCTTTTTCGTTTGTTACTAAATCTAGTAGCTCTAACTGGATCCAGTCTAGTGTTGTGCCCTCAACCCGATCCAATCATATCCAAGGCTTGGACTGGATTTGTCGGCTGTTCCCTTTGCATCATGTAGCACACGCTACATCGGGTGAGCAGAGCTCGTGCTCCGCTCTAAGCTGAATTTATTGATAATTTTTCTGCCCCCAAGTCCTCAAGTCTTTGCTCAGGGCTTTTGGAGCACACACACACACATCATTATTATTCATACCACCATGAATATTATATGTAAAGATTTGTGTGTTGGCCCATCCAACTAAAAAATGTGCATGCTTCGCCTTCACACTTCTGTGCAAAGGCAGGTTTGACTTCCTCAAACACAAATTAGTTGTTTTGTTGCACATAGAAGCACTAGGCATGACAACATGCTGATTGACGAAAAACAGTATGGACTGCTGTGAATGGTCTTGTTGGCTATGAAATAAAATGTAAACCAAATAGTATATCCCACTAAAATATGATTAAATAATCTTGAGCACACAAATTGATGTTTCAGTCAGGTTCTAAGGGTTGTAATAAAACAAAAATTCTTAATTCAGACTATAAAAAAAAAGCAGTTGTTGGTAAATTATGAAAATTACTTGCATTTTGTACGTAGAACCTCATAATAACTAAGATTGGCATGCGAACGATAAGTATGCCTCCTTAAAACCAACCAGCCAAAGTCGTTAAGGTTGTTCTCAACCTTCCTTCTACTGCTTCACATAATTTAGTTCTAATTTATTATATTGGCTGTACCTCGAAGAAATAAAACATATATAAAGGTGACAACTAAACAACAAAGTTCAAATAAAAATAAACTTACAGAGCAGTTCACATACATTTTCTTGCAAGTACCCTCGCTGAATCCCAAATTTATAAAAGGAATCGTCAGAATACCACAGTCTATCATAAATAAAGGCCGCAGTTTAATTAAAAATTTTTTACTACAACTAAGAGCTGTTAGATTAACACTCACAAAGTTCCTTTTTGTAATATACCCAACGCTTGCGTGTTTGACTTCCTGCTCTGGGGGAATGCTTTCCCTTAAGCACTCTGATGCACTGCAGCGAAGCAAGATGAGCAAAATTGCGATGCTTACTTCGCAGTTGCCACTTGACTGCAGTACCCAGGAGTGCGTTGAGAAGCACACTCAACAAAGCTAACTTACGCGCCAGAGTAGACTAGGAACACAAGAGATATCGAGAAAATTCCAAATACTGTGAGTGTTTGACACTGACAGAGAGATCAAATAGGATAGTACAGAGCGCGACACTGTTAGCGCGAACAAGCGATCGCCGGTTTTTCCAGTTTTTCTTTTTGAAACCAAGGGATGTCATCCAAGTCATCATTGCTACGGAAAGAGCTCATTTAGTTCTATAATGTAAGCGATGAAATTTCGTGTTTGCTAATACTATTTAGAAGTGAAATACAAAAATGCGCCGATGTCATGTTCGCGCTAACAGTGTCGCGATGTGTACATTATTTGTGGCTAAAATCGGTAGTTCGGAAAATTTCCACAAGCCAACGATAACAATCTGGATGTGAAGCGGGCCTGAGCCATTGAATCTTCAGTATTAATAAAGTTAAATAGAGTTTTGGCACAATGTTTGCGCAAGTTCCTCACATGTGGGCTGAATGTAGCAGAATGTAACAGGGTAAGCCCTTTGGTGCAGTTCGGCGCAAATGGCACAGCAATTGCATCACTGGATATCCTACTCTCACCAGAAATGCCAGCAGACAATGTATCGCTCCGTTTGTACTGGGGACGGCTTTCCCGCAGCATTTCAAACTCTCACTACTTCTTGCTCGGTCAGCGCAAGCGGGGAGATTACAAATATTAAGAGATGATGCTCCTCCATGAGACGCTTGCTTGCGGAAGCTACGAGACGGACATCAAGCTCTCTTGTACATTTAACAACCTTGGGTGCAACCAGTGCAAGTGGCGCCAAATTCAGAAGTCTGAGGGAGTTCTGCACTGGGTGCCATTTCCGAAAATTACTACCTGTGGCCACCTGGCTTTATCCAACATTACTGATCTGTCCACAATTACCCCTAAAACATACCAGTAGCTTAGAAAAAAGAAAAACACTGTACAGATGAATGAAAGGGCATCATGAAAGATTATGTTAAAACATACTTGCACATGACTTCAAAAGTACATTGCATTTGCAGTACTTTACTTGAAGTACATTGCTTAGTGTACTTACTACCTCACTTCAAGTACATAACCTCTCACTTACTTTGTGCTTTACTTCAAGTACTTTTTAGATGTACTTTACCCAACACTGACTACCAACTATGCTATTCGGTCTCATCAAAGACTGAACTAGAGGGAAGTTTGTTGCTTTGGGGTCAGCACATTTGTTGTCATTGTCCACACGTCTAATCCTTAGCAGAAACAACGCCCCGGTTAAGCCCATGAATTAGCACTCATTCTCTTCCAAAACCCTGGCTTCTAGTAATGAAACCTAATTTGTTCAACACCTGCATTATACCGTTATGCGAGAGCAATTGCACAGATTAAAAGACTGGTCTTGACTCACTCAAAAAAATAAGAAAAAAATAAGAAAAAAATAATTCTGCTCTACTGATGCTCAAACAAGAAGTGACAAATTTCCACGATAAAAACATCACTCCCTCAGGTTGCAAATGCACATGTCTGAGACTTGTTAAAAAATTAAAAACAAAAATGTGTTCCTCATATTATAAAAACAAGAAAAAGAAGATAAGAGGGCATTTACATCGCAGGAGCCGGCTATTCGTCGACTGTCTTCGAAGGCCCCTATCTCACGTGTAGGGAAAAAGTGTCTTGGTTATCACCACCGTGTGAGCGGATAAAATGAATGGAACTAAAATGCAAGCGTTCAGCGCGGGCAGTTCGCGGGGACTCGACCAAATGAGCTCACGGTTCCCAACAAAACACACAAACAGGCGCGCATTACGGCGCGTAGGCGTGTGATTAGAAACGGCCTTCGTTTCCAAAATAAGCGAACACGCAAACCCTACGAGACCAGGAAATGAAGCGTTTTGACACCGCACGCTTAACCCTAATACCGCCGCTACGTCCACACGGGGGGTGTCCCATTTCTGACGAATTCCAGTAATCGAATTCGAACAGCGGTTCGTAGGTTTAACGGAGAGACAGCTGCATTTACGAAACATTGCGAGAAAGAATTCCCGATGATGACGTGAAAAAGAATCGTGCCAGCGCTTTCGAAAAACCGGTTCACCCACCACGCCTACACTCGCGAGCCGCGGTCAGAGAGCTGTGATGACGTTACCTCTTTAACTATGTCCAGCTCGTGTTTCGTGGTGTCGCAGATCGCTTCCAAGTCGTCGCATCTCTGTTGGAGGGCCTGTTTTTCGTCGAGCAGGACGAGCCCGTACTGGGCCGACTGGATCTTTTCGTGGCTCGTCTGGGCGAGCTCTCGGTGGAGACGCTCGATTTCGAGCTTGAGGGACTCGTTCTCGGCCCTGACGTCGGCATCCTTCGCTCCCGCGTCTCCGTCCATGGTGTCAGAGGCGGTGCACCGTGTCGATATGGTTTTTAGCGTCCGGTTTGGGCGAAAACACACCCATCGACGACTTCACTCTGGGAGTCGACGGCTCGCACGGATCGCCATCTTGCTCCAATGCCAATTTGATGTTTGCAACCCGTATCACTCCGCCACTTTTCTTATTTGTACCCGATATGCCTTTTTTATCACATATATTTTAAAACTTAAAAACATATTTTAGTAAACGAAATAAATTTTGTTTTCACCGATACTATGCAGTTTTTTAATTATGTTTTTTTAAGCTCAATATTCGAGCAAATTGTTTGTGCACTATATTCTGGTTGCGCAGGTATCTTTTATAAACCATGGTAGACTTTAGTTGCACATTTGGTTAACCACGCAGGCGCTTAAATTAATCCTGGCGGTACCAAAGTGTACTCCGAATTTCAGTAAACTACGCTCGTGATTCAAGAGTGGCGAAGAATCCCTAACGAAAAATATTCTTCGTCGTTTTTTTTTTTTTCCTGTCATCCTGGTTTTTTCATTAGTTATAAAGGAAAATACATATGTTTGGGGGATTATCTTTTGTTTTTTCACGATAACTTCTTTACCATTTATCTCATCGTGCCTCGTGTCTTGCACGCGGTGAGACCGAGGTCGAATCGGTCGAATCTTCGTTTTAACTGACGCCTTTTTTATGTCCTCGTAGGATGATGGTAAACATAAATGTTTCGTGATCTCTCACCGAGCAGTTAGTAACTGTATTTATGTTATCTCTCACAGCAAACCTTGAAGAGGGTGTACAGGAAGTACGGTATGATGAAATTGCTGATGTACCTCCTGGTAGTCTCGGTGACATTCACCATCTGCCGAAAGATTGGGTACTTATTTGTTAGCTGCCGCATTTATGCATAATTTAAAAAAAAAGTATTTACGCAAGTACATGTATTTCTCTGCAGCATCCAAACCGGCTGCAAGGGAGTCAACAACGTGGCCTTTATCAAGACGCACAAATGTGCCAGTTCATCGGTGCAGAACATTTTGTTCCGTTACGGTTACACCAGAAACCTCAATTTCGCCATAGGCAATAAGGACGTGTACCTCGGTCACCCGGAGCCGTTCAACAGGAACATGGTACCCAGTCTGGGCATGTATGGCCAGCGGTACCATATGCTGGCGCACCACAGTCGGTACTCGGTTCGCGAAGAATACGCCAGCGTTATCAATAGCAACGTCTTTCTCTTCACGATCGTGAGAGAACCGATGGCCATATTCGAGTCCCTGGCAGCCCACCTGAAGTTCAAAGATATCCACATCGACGATTTTGCGGTAAGAATGAATAGCGGTCGAATAACCGACCCTGCGTCGTTTCGAATTGTTTATTAATACCTTTTCGTGAAATGCTGAAATCGAAGCTTGGAGGGACCACGCGGCAAAAGATGGCACTATGTGCTACAAAATTGAATTTCTGCTAGTCACGATCACCGATTTTACCTCATTTACAGATATTTACGACCATGCTTGCCTTTTCCACTGTGGTGAACTCCGAAGCCGTAAATATGCAAGCTCAGAGTTTTGAACCACAATGTGACTGAAGTACTTTCTTAATACGCTGTCCATCCTAAACAAGCAAAAGACAGTGCTCGAATAACAGGACAAAAAAGGGTAAATTATTAAATATGTGCCGAAGATGATAGCAGTATCACCTTTGCGTCAAAAAAAAAAAAAAAAAAAAAAAAAACCGGTGTTATGAACTCAACTTCTGCCATCGCCAGGACAAGGGACAAGTCGGGGTAAATGACTTGATCTCTTTACCGAGCCGCTATTGCTCTCTTTCCTCAATACGCTCATCAGTTGATTTATTAAACTCAACTATCAAAGCATTCAGCCGTGACAGATATGCACGGTTGATTCATTGGGTATTCTCTCGATTATTTTACTGCAAGGAATAATCCGTTTTGCAAAATAACTTTTAGTCTATGGGATACTTCTGACGTCACTCACCACATAAAAAAGCGAGAACAAAAATGTAAGCTAGATAATGAGTTAATCCAGGCGAAATAATGAGCTAATCCAAACTAGAACTAAACGCAGGAAAAAAAAAAAAAAAAGACGTCAGTTTTTTTTGTTTTTTTTTTGTTTTATTGGCGTTGACTTTCGAGCCCGAGTCACCACGGGATCCGTGCTTCGAATGCCTCTTGGCAATGAGTTCAGTGAGAAACTTGGGCACGCGGCATTCGAACCACGGATATTGCGGTGATTTGTTTTTGCAGACGGTCTTTGTATGATGTATGAGCAGCCTGACTCCGGCTTTGGGCACCAAGTAGTCTCGTCTTTGCAGAACACCACTCGAAAAGGCCACTTCACTTCCTACCTCTCCGGTAAACGCACCGAGTATGGGCGTATCGGAGTCAACCAGATGGCGTTCGACCTCGGTCTTACACAGGGTGACCTCAACGATTCGCGACAGATTGTCCATTTCATCCGCCGGATCGACGCCGCGATGAACTTCGTCCTCGTGGCCGAGCGCATGGACGAGTCGCTGATCTTGCTGAAGAACGCGCTCTGCTGGGACCTCAGTGACGTGATCGGCTTCCAGCAGAACGTCCGCGTTCCACAGCCCCTGCCCAGTCGGATTCCGCACGTGGTCCAGAAGGCCATCCTCACGGTTAACTTCGTCGACGTGGCGTTGTACAGTTTCTTCAGGTCAGTCGATCCTATTCCTTTGTCGCACAGCGCGTACTGCACGGGTTCTCACACTGGGCCAACGTTGACAGCCTGACCATAGCCTCCTATATATATCTGACAAAGCCTGGCAGATCGCAACGAGAAGTGGCCGCCGAAATGGAAAAGGTGGAGCGGCAGACAACGGATGAGAGGACAGCCACGTGACTGGCGCCCCGCTGCGGCGACACGCCGAAACACCTCTCCCCAGCGAACAAAAGTGTTCCGGGTCCTCGCCGCGGCAAAAGCTGCACGCTGCCGTCGAGGTTTCCGATAAATGGCTCTTTGATGCTCTGTGCTACCAGATCCTCGCGCTCCAAATCTGCGACCGGGCACTCTATGGCTCCGTCGTCGAACTGTCAGGCTTTTTGAGCATAGAGGAGGCAATGGTCTGACGCTATTCTAAGACGTCACGAGCGTTTGGCCGATCGTGGAAAGCCGAACACAGCTACGCTTGTGGTCGCGCCCGTCGCCAATAGTTCGTTTGCAAGACGAGCTCCTTGCACAAAGCCCTCCACCATAGGCGTAGACTTCGGGGGGGGGGGGGGGGGGGGGCACCGAAGCTCGTGCCCCCCCCCTCCCCCCCCCCCTTTCCGGGCCCGGGCCATGATCCTTGCCGAGTCTCTGTTTACGTACCATGTAATGGCATGTAAACAAAATAACGCCCATGTGTCCTCTATTGACAAAATACATGGGAAATGGAATCCCAGCGTGCTTTCGTTAGCTTCAATCTCCAGTTCTGGCGAAAAGGTAACGCGCAGCACCCCCTTCCCCCCTGCATGCAACATGTTAACATAGTCTGCACTATTCCAGGGGCGGATGCAGGAATTCCCTGAGGGGGGGGGGGGGGATCAGCTGTTGGTCAGCGTACCATATGTTTAGGAACCCCCTCCCCCTCTCCCTCGTTTCACGCCCTAAATATTACACATGCAGAAATCAAGAGGGGGGTCAGGACATCCGGACCCCCCCCCCCCCCCCCCTCCCTCTAAATCCGCCCCTGCACTATTCTATTTTATTTTGAACTAAGTATTTCTTCGGATAAATGTGTTCCTCTCAACTCTTTTTCACGTAAATAACCTACACGACAATACTACTACTGTATAGGCCACAAGCGCGAGATCTGTGCTCAAGGATGCACCTCAGCTGCACGAACTCTCGTAAAGCAGGAACAATGGCCAAAGATAAAGCTATGAGTTCGGGCTTCTAGCCGTCAAAAATACTTTTAAAATATGTCTTTTCTTTTGATGCTGAAAATCGCCAGGAAAGCAAAAACTGTTATGGGAAGAGAATTGTTGAGCCGAGTAGATTGTTCGACAGGAAAATGACGGAGAGCTTGTTGTCGCTCTATTGAAAAATGCTAGCAGGATGTCATTTTAAACCCCGTTATCATGTCAGCTGTTGGTTCAAAGTAGTAGTAGAAGCAAATCAAAGCTAAATATGCCAACGGCAAAACGGCGAGTTAACAAAAAGCTGAAAGAACGAGGTACCTTTTCTGGAAAGTCTCAGGTTTGTTACTGGCTGAGTCGGCTGCTTTGCGACGAGAAACACCATTGTTTCTTTTTACCCCAAATCCCCCAAAAAAGTAGAACCCCTTTGCCTACGGCGGCCCTTGACCTTTCGGGCGCGGACTATCTCGTTCCCACACTCGAATGAATTTGAAGACGCCTGCGATCAGGGGTGGACGCAGGTATTTCTTAAGGGGTAAGGTGTTGGTCAGCGTATCATACGTTTAACCCCCCTCCCCCCCCCCCCCCCCTTTCCCGTTTCCACTTCCTAAATTTTTACACATGCAGAATTCAAGAGGGGGGTCAGGGCATCCGGACCCCTTCTCTGAATCCGCCCCTGCCTGCGATAGAAGATAGAACTGCTACTCAAACTTTCTGAGAATTTGAATAGACCGCGCAAACCTTTACCGGTGGTACGGTACGAACTTGCTCCACTAGGTGCCTCTTGTTGTAGGACTTGGTACTTGTTCAGTCCACTGCACCTATTCACAGCGGATACTACAAGACAAGAAATTTCGTGGTGTGAAATGAATGTTGTGGAAGCTCACTCCAGCACTCTCTCAACAGCACGAAAGAACAAAGCGTGACCTAATTCGTTTTTTAGACTGCCTTGCTGCTCGATCTGTAAGTTTTCTATTATGTGACTTCACGTCGCTGGAAAAGTGCGGGGAAATTTGAATGTTAGTCCTGGCGTCGCCTTAGAGATACTAAATATTTGACTCCGCCATATATTTTGACTTTCGGCTGTTTCGTAAAACTTTGATTCATTCGACCAAGTACGGTTTGTTCATCTGCATATTTTCGATGATTCCCATTCGGTTTGTTCATCTGTATATTTTCGAAGACCACGTACGATAATAAAAAGTGCCATGAATCAGTCGTACGAAACCGCCGAAAGTGAAAATATTTGGCGGAGCCAGGGTTATAAGTTATAACCAGGGTGTCGAACCGAACCCGAACCGGAACCGAAAACCGGATCAAAACCGTTATTTTTGGCCGAACCGGAACAAAACCGAAACCAAAATCAAACGCTTCCTACTGAACTCGAACCGGAACGAAACCATAATCTGATGTGGTGGTACCGGTTCGATGAAAGCGGTTCAGGGCCAATTGTGTCAATAATTGGTCTAAATGGAAAAGTTGCGGGCGTATATTTTCTTATGATGCCAAGACTAATCCTACAAACTGTGAGATATTTTTACACTTTGTTTTTATTGCATACGTAATAAAAAATCGTCTTCAACTGAGCATTTGAGGACCGTCGTTCGCTGTGGTGGCATTGCCGGAACCTGATATGTGCAAATGAACCGGTCTGAGTTTCTCGGACCGGGTCATTTGCATAGAGCGTTGTTTGCGATAAAAAGTCAAAGTGAAGCCTCGCCACAAGATCTTTAGAACGACGTTTTTTCGCGGGAACCCGAAGCGCTGTCAAGATGAAGTCACATTTCATTATACGTGCGTGTTCACGTGCCCGGTAATTTACACATCGACCAGTCTGGCAGATGTATACACACGACCACAGCTTAACGGGATTCAATAAACTACCCCAACTTCGCACCCGACGTCCCTGTTTCTGTGTTTTACGACACATTTCTTTCCTCTCGTTCCCCTGTCAGCCACTCTGGGGCATAGCTGTGACATCTTACTGGGTGCCGAAAACAGATAACATGTATAAATAAAACACGTGCGTGCAGAACAAAACAAACCAAAGCATATGGGGGGCAAGCAAATCTAGCTAGAGACCTTTTTAAGCTGTTTACAAAATCACAGCCCAGCACGTGCATGTTTGTCGCTTTCACTAAAGATGGCACCGGCCTACTTTCTCTTCAGGCAGATATGACAACTCTGCACAGAGACGTGCGCAAAGGACACCATAAAAATGGAAAGCCGATCGCTTATGTATAGTTTACTTAAGAACAGAAATATGCAAGTAATAGGCTTGTCATATTAACAGTGTCCTTTGCGCACGTCACTGTGTAGAGTTTTCATATCTGCCTGAAGAGAAAGTAGTATTAGCGACGTGCACGACCGAAAGCGTCGCTGTGGTCGGCCTTCCGCGATTGGCCCAAAAGCTGACTATGACGTCGGAAACGGTATACCATCGACGGAAATAAGAGGAATGAAAGAACTTTAATTTCGACGGTGCTGGCAGTGTTGCTTTGAGAGCGCAATGATTTCAGGCTTCCACCATGCTATTTACTAGCACCATAGAACTTGTTGTTCGCAAGGTAATGACGTCACAAGGGGGAACCATAGGAGGGCGCCACCAAAACATCTCGCCGCTAATTGGGATGGGTCTATTGCAAGTGTCTCGTGCTTAGAAAAGGCTGTAGGAAGTGCTCGGTCAATATTCAAAGGTCGAGTTAGGAACCGGTTCGAACCGGTTCGCGCTTATTAAAACCAGTAACCGGAGTGATATTATGTGCGCTACCTTAAACCGCAACCGAACCGGAACAAAATACAATGCTACTTCACCGCTCCACCTTGACAATCTAACGTTTCCTATCTCTCATAATAATGCACTGAAACTAAAATATATCCAATCAGTGGTGTTCTGGAAGCACACGCCGCCGCGTGGAACACGGTACGACGCTTGCTGGCATGTGGTATGTGCTCTCTGTGTTATCGAATACCTAGTAAAGGCTCCTTGAAGTAGATATTTTGTTTACTAATATTATACCGCGACGCGACATTCCGAACAATGACAAGTGTTATTGGCTTAGTTAATCGCCACTCCTCCCAACCTTAAAAAAAAAAAAAAAAATGCTGATCGGGTTGGGGTGGGGCACGGAATAGAAGCGTCCATTCTTTTGCGTTTATTTATTTATATTGGTACCCTCTGGGCCCAGAGGGAGTTACAAAAGGGTTGTGTACAAGGTGCTTGAAACATGCACATACGAAGGGCATAATAGTGAAACAACAACGGTCAGAATCTAATTAACGTAGTGCAGGATTAGAAAGGTGTTCTGTGATGGCGGTCTTGAAGAATGGGACGTCATCAAGGGAGGCGATCGAGTGGGAAAAGCGGTTAGACTCTGATCTGGTCTTGAATAGGAATAAATCAAGAACCATATCTGTGCTGCAATAGGAAATTTATTTCTTTATTTAGAGATACTGCCAAACCCTCTTAGGGTCTTTACAGTCGAGAGAATACAAAAATACGTGAAAAATCAATCATCACTGGTTCAATCGCAAAACCAAACAAATCACTCGCGTAATTAATCATTCATTTAAAAAAAAACTGCAAATTGTACAAATCAATCGTAGCAGTTAATAATGGAAACATGCGCACGTGCGAAATCCCAGCACACAAGTTTCCAACAAGTGTCATTCAATGCTAATCTCAAAAATAACTATAATTGTTAATGTGCCCCAGACTGCTCATGAATTCTACAAGGGAAGCCGAATTTACAATGTCCTGTGGGAAAAGGATCCACTCGTCTATCGTTTCAGGAAAAAGTGAACAATGAAATACGCCAGTTCTGCTTTGAAATGGTTGGATCATTCTGCCGTGGCTATTTCTTAATGAACGAGTTAATCGAGGCTTTAAATACTGGGTAGAATTAATGTAAAAAAAAAAGAAGTGGTAAAGCACAACAATGCATTTTAATCTAATATATATTTTAATGTCAATTTTAATCTGGTGACCAATTCGGGATGAAAGGTACGAAGGTTGTGAAAGAAGTTCGTGCTGTAATGACGAGTTATATTAGAAGATAACTTCATGTTTCTTCGAAATTGTAATTCAGGGAGTCCAAGATTAGATTTCATTAGTAAAACGTTAGCGGAACGGAAATAGTTCGAGAGAATAAAACGGGCAGATCGATTCTGAACAGATTCTATGGCATTGATAAGAGCACGTTGAGCCGGGCCCCATATGGCGGACGTGTATTCGAGCTTCGGACGAATGACTGTGCGATATAAAGTCAACATACGAGACGAGGGGGCTTGAGGAAAATTGCGACCTAAGTAGCCGAGGGTGCGGTTTGCGTCACTTATGGCGTAGGTGACGTGGGTATGCCATGAGACGTTTTTAGTTACGTGAACTTCGAGATCTTTTTTTCGAAGGGACACGCTCCAAAGTGGGACACCGTTAATTTTCTAAACGCAGGATTTGGGGGGATTAGAAAGGCGGGAAATTTTCGTGCTCTTACATTTGATAATGTTAAAAGCCAATAACCATTTATTACACCATATAGATATATTGTCGAGGTCAATTTAGAGAAGAGAATAATCACGTCGATTAATTATTTCGCGGTAAAAAACGCAGTCGTCAGCATTGATGCTAAAAGCAAGCTCTTCCTAAAACGTCCACCAGACCGGGTTCGTCTTAGATTCCGTCCGAACTGAAAGGGGGGGGGGGGGGGGGGGGGGGGGGGAAGGGTGGCTATTCGGGACGTTACTCAAACAAACTGCCTCGGATAACACGGCGCTCTGTGATACGTACAATACATTGTTCCAAAATCGACACTCGCTGAGTTTCTCCGGCGAGGCTGGAATCCGCATGCCATTCGGCTTTCTTTTGTTGTCAGTTGTTTTGGACAGTTACGTATCATGTCAATAGGGAGTTTTCGGAGATCGCTTTAGCCGTCCCGTAAAGCTCTCCGTAACACGCCACGCTACCCGGAACTCTACAGCCAAGGCCATCGGCGCGCAGGCGCAGTAGCAACTTCTTCCTTTGGGGGGGGCTTAGCGGAGGTTGAAACGCGGTGTACGAAAACTCGCCAATAAATTACCAGCCAGTTTCGTTGCGCCGCCACTGCTGGCATGCATCGTGGGAACTGTAGTCTTTCTGTACTCAAGAGTGAAGACAACTCCGCTGCGGGTCTGCGAGAGCAGAGCACGACGAGACGACATGAGCGGTCTCGTGCAGTGGTGCCTGCCTCCTGCGAACGACAGTTATGGCGGCGTCACGCATGCACGGTACACTTAGTGAGTACGGTCTCTTGACACGGTTGTGGGCTTTGTGGGAGTTAGCATAAAAAAAATCGGGGTCACGTGCATGAAACACACTAATCGCATTCGTCCAGTCGTGTACCAACAAAACTAGTCTCAATGGCAAAAAAACAGCTGGTCAAATCACTGCCAGCTCGGTTAGGGTTAGCAGGGCCGATATGGAGAGATCAGCCTCATGGTTCACACTCCGTGAGTGTGCTTTAAAATCCTATTCTTGTCCCTGGGCCGAGTTTTGCTCGGGAAGGTATCAGTCCCCAAATAAGTCACACCTTGAGAGTAAAGCCAATATACCCTTTTCAAAAGGTCATCAAGCAACATTGGCAGTCGCCATTGCTTGGCGACGAAGCTCCAAGCAATCGTGTTTAAAATCATTATTGCCAGTTATATCTGGAGCTTTGCCTACTGAAATCACAAGAAATAGACTTCCGTACCTCCACAAATGTTAGTATATAAAGAATTTTTTCTCTCTCTCTCTCTCTTAGCAACAGAGCAAAAACATTATCGCCTAAGCTTTGGTATCCCGAAGCCCGGGAAGTCGCATCTCAGAACCGTTAACTATAATTTCATTTCATTTCATTTATTACACCTTAAGGGCTCCTGGGGGGCATTACATAAGGGGGAAACATAAAACACAATATAACACTTCAAGGGTTGAAATAAAATGTAGAGACAAATAGGTTGAAAGAACATCTGTTATTTTACAGTGCAATATCTCCATTATACAATCATATGCTTTGTAAGTTCTGCTAAAACAAGCGATGATCAGTGATTGTTACAATGGACTCAGGTAGCGCATTCCAATCCCGTATACACAAAAAAAGGGAGAGTTTTTTTTTAAATGTTGGTTCTGGCAAAGGGCATTTCTATCATCTGGCAATGATCACGGCGTAGGGAGACATGACATGGCTGAAGAGAAGAATTCATGGTCAGTCCAGGGCTTGTAAAACAGGTTATGAAAAAAGGATAATCTATCTACGGTGCGTCTAGTATTAAGGGGAGGTAATGATAAAGAAGCCTTAAGGGCAGAGATGCTCGTGGGTGAGCAGTCAGCAAGAATGAATCTAGTTGCGCGGTTTTGGATTGATTCTAGCGTGTCGGATAGGTAAGCCTGATAGGGGTTCCAAATGGTAGAAGCGTATTTCATCTTGGATCTAACAAGGGAGCAGTACGACAGCTGTTTGATTTTCGGTGAAGCTTGACTAAGATGGCCTCTTAGAAAACCTAAAGTTTTATTAGGACTGGAAGTTATGTGTTCAATATGAGTTCTCCATGGTATTTAAAGATGAAACCTTTTCAATGGGCTGGGATGTAAGTTGATAGGTATAATTTACTGTATTACGGGATTTAGAAAAAGATACACATTTACATTTATTATGATTAATGGACATAAGCCACTCGGCACACCAGTTTTCAATTAGGGATAGGTCTTCTTGTAATGTTAGGCAATCATCATCATTGGAAATAGCGCGATAAACAACAAGATCGTCAGCAAACAGACGAACACAGCTTCTCCGGCGATATCCGATATCATTTATATAAACAAGGAAGAGCAATGGGCTCAGTACAGTACCCTGTGGTACGCCTGAAATAACTGGTAAGGATTGTGAAGATGTTTCACCTAGACGTACGGATTGGGTTCTAGTCGTACGACTAGAACCCAATTCGGTACCTGTAGAACCAAATCGTAGAGCCAAACCCAACCCAATCCGTAGAATCAAATCGCTATTAATGTGTTTACCGCGTCCAAAAAAGTGGTCCCTAGGTTTCCCCTGATGACGTCCTAGAAATGTCATGCTGGCTGAGTTCCACATCTTATCCAAATAGATCCAAGTTACTCCGTCGGGTCGTGTCACGTGATAACACAGAGAGGGCAACGTTTAACGCGGGAAGGCTTTCGAACGTAATGGTATACTAAACCCTTAAATTATACAGTAAGATAGTGTCGCGAAGTTTTGCTCGCGCGAGTTTTTAGTTTACAGTTTTACTTTGTTTTGGCCTTCCTCGGGGGCTCACTCGTCTTTACGGCACGGCTCACGGCCTCTGCCGGGGTCGGGGGACCCCAAATGGGGGAGAACGGGAACGCTGTAACGCTACACTTATAGTTTACAGAACCCCGCGTTGGAAACGTTTTGTCTTGTATATGTTTGCATTTGGGATCTCTACTTCAAAGGTGGTTTTGCGCTGTGTATGTGTAACTTCTCTGGCTGCGTACGGAAGTGCTTTCTGTTGTTTATGGCTGCTCTTGTCAGCTTCGTTTGGAATGTGTTCTGTCTCGTGTATGCGCATGTTTTTTGGAATGTTCGTATTTGCTTTAGGTTCCGAGCCTTTGATTGGCTCTAAGAAAACCCCTCTTGATTGGTCCTTCCCAAACTTTCTGATTGGTGGACTGGAGGAGCCCAGAATGCTGGTGAACTGAATATAAGCGGCCACCGAAGGGCCGTAAGGACTTGGCCCCCGGATACCATGCCGTGAACATCTCCCTGCCTCTGGAAAACCAACCTGTATACGTCCGACCCCCCTTCGGCTGTGGAGCCGTCCGCCCGCTAGCTCGCAAACTTGGTACCCCTTACGGCTGTGGAGGAGTTCGGCTCGCCCGCCTTTGTGTGGAACCTTGTTTGTCGAGTTTGGCTGTGGTCGGGGCCCCCGCTGAGGGTGTGTGTGGTCGAGGAGGACGGCAGGGAAAGTTTCCTTAGGTTAGAATTATTTCCCCCCAAAAGTTTACTCTCAAATTATAAAATGTTCAAAGTGATGTAAAAGAGTCCTTGTCTATATTTCATAAATAAACAGTTGTTTGTTAATATCGGTATCGTTCATCGACGGAGAAAAGAGAAGTCCTTAATTTCTTCGTTACAATAGAGTGAATTTTGGAACATGACCGGTGTCGCCGGCCGCGATCCTGGCGGCGTCTCAGTAGCTGTGGTGGATGTGCAGACGCCTGTTCTGCTGCAGGTCCCTCTCAGCTTTACAGTCCCCGGAAGCTTAGGCAGCCAGGAGTTGGGACACCGTGACGACGGCAGCGACACTCACGTCTTCTCATGCTTTATGCCGGAACTTCTACGCCTAACCGCCAGCGTCGCGCCGCCCGACAGCACGACACTCCGGCTTCTGTGACGTCATTTGTTGCCACTTCGGGACCACTTTCGATGCAGGAGCGGAATAGAACGCTAAGCACACCCTAAGCACAAAAATGGTTGCGCCCACAAAACTATTGAAGGCTGGAGGGTTGATCCTCGAGTCTAGGAGTACACGTCGAATTTAGGTGTCGATATTATGGTGCCTGGAGCGCGTCTGTGGCTGGTGTGTGGTACAGCTTCCTACGCAATATAGGGCAATAAGCACACCAGTAGAAGACGCGTTCCGGCCATGGCAGGTTGCTAGTCAACCGTGTGTCTTGAACTTGGTTCCAGGTCCAAACTAGACGACGCCATCGCCGCCTACGGAGTCGAGCGGATGCAGAACGAAGTGGCCGAACTGCGACGGCGCCGGATGGAGTTGTACGGCGACTGCGTCGAGACCGAGGAGCCCGCGGACAAGGTCTTTCCGGCCGAGTTCGTCTACAGGAAAGACGTTGTCGGCTACCGCCTCAAGAACGGCACCGCCAAAGACCACGGGCTCTGCAGATTGCTCCTGGCCAACGAACTCCAGTTCACCAGCATGATTCGACAGCGCCAGATGGTGGACATCTCGGCCTTCTACTTCGTCAGCTGGGGCACCGGCGGGACGTCCGCACCGTCTGCGTGGGCGGGCCGTGGCGGTCTAGCGGTGGTTGCACTCCTCGTTTGCCTCGTCTGGGAAACGAATGGGCAAAGTTGGTTTAGGACTGCGGGTTTTGTGGTATTCTCTTTGACGTGTTCTTTCTTTTAGCTACGTCCCAGTGCGTCGCGACATTGTTTATTTATTGTTTTATAGATATAATAAACTACAATATGATGTGCCAAATTTTATCCTCATGCATATGCACAACTTTCAACTCGACTTGGTTCTTTTGCTACACCTGTGGTCCCCACGATCTCGGCTATCGCTCGATTTGCCAAGTACACAGGGTGTCCCCCCAAAACAAACAGCCTTTTTTTTTACCGCAAAAAAAAAAAAAAAGCCTACGCATTGAAAAACGCTGATTCATCGTCCGAATGTAGCGCTAGAGGTTCGAACCACTGCAGATGCCAAAGCCTTTTGAGCCAAACGTTATGTCATTTAAAAGTTATAGGCGATTTTCTCCAATTTTATATGAGAAAATGGCGACCGAGCTACCGAAAAGGGGCGAAAAACAGGCCCAATTTTTCTATCGAAATTTTCAGAAAATCGCTTATAACTTTTCAAGGAGATAACGATTAGTTCTGAAGGAGTGGGCTGCTCGCTCGCGCTACACTTGGGCGGAGAACGAGCGTTCGGCAATACTATAGTTAATTTTTGCAATAAAAACAGTAAAATTTTTTTTGGACACGTTATAGGTGAAAGGATGGAGCCTCAATTTTGCTTTACATTACACTTTAGCGAAGCGTTCGGTTCGCTAAAGTAAAAAGAGGTGGGAGAAGCCTCCGCTGGTCACTCACGTGATGTGTGTTTGCCCTCAATTTTCGTCATACGCATGCGCTATATGGTCCCGACGTGGTTACAGACCTGTAGCTCTCCAGTTTTGAGCGGTGCCCATGGCGAGCGAGATCGGATATGCGCATACGTTTATATATATTTCGGTCGCGCGTTTCTCCTGCGAGTCGCGTTGTGTGTTTCCAAACGCCGTGATAGTGCCCGTGGACAGACGCCGAGGGACGCTGGTTTGCGACCTACGAAACACGTGCTCGTTTTTTACCCCACACATTAGAGGTCGCATAAAATATGCAAGAAAAACGAGCAGCGTTCACCTCCTCAACTTGCAGCCAGAACAAGCGGCTACGCGATCTGGAGCCGATTTGCCAGCCATGTTGATCGTAGCTACGCACTGGTGTTGGCAAAGCACAGAACACGCGCTGAGCGGCATCGCTATAGTTCAGCTCTGGGAACACGACTGGGCACAAGCCACGACCCAAATGCCTGTCGAGCAGACTGATGCCCGTTACGAAAAAATGAATGACAAATTACCGAGCCTCAAATGCAATGGATTACCGTCACAAATTAGTTTTGCTGAAAAGTAACGGAATACTTTACTCGTTACGTTACGAACTACATTCAAGTGAAGTTTTCTGTAGACTTGTTAAGAAAACAATAGAAACAAATTTGACAGTTTCTAAAATGTACTGCAACACTACTTTCCGTTTCTCATGCGCCCGCATTATGGCAGTCCTTATGAAAATAAAATACTGTATTAAGAGAAAGAATGTAGTTGCACTCGTTCACCTATAAGCTGACAAGGCAGCGAAAGCTGCAACCACACCTGCCATACCGCTAGCCAGGGATGGGCAAAATACATGCAAATATGTATCGAAATACAAATACAAAATACTTCGTCAAAAATGTATTTAATTACAAATCTAATTACATTTTCAAAAAAGCATTTAAGTACAAGATACAAATACAACCAAATGTATTTGGTGTCCTCCAAATACTTTTCCAAATACATTCCTCAAAATTTGCGTCAGCGACTTCAGGGCACCTCCAACAGGTTTCTGGGTATCTCATTTTAATTTTTCACCGCACACTCGGGAGTTAGTGTGCGAGGCTCTAGTAACGTAATAGAAATATAATCACAAAAAAATGTAATCAGCTTGGACGTAATATGTGAAAAAAGTACAGAGCTTCAAGCCGCTTTTTTTTGTCGATTACATTTTGGTATAGACCAACAAAGAACCGAGACGACCAAGACGCGCAGCACTAGCTAGAGAATTTTTTATTGTTGCAACCCGCACCAGTTACGAAAATCTGGACGACCCGCGCATTTAGAATGTTCCAGGCAAAAATATGGACGGAAACCAGGCAGGAGAGCATCACAAGTTGTCGCAGGCACTTATTTAGCCAGTCTGTCTGTGAACGTCGATTTCGTCACTATTCTTACCCTGGACTAGCACCGTAATCACAAAGTCACTAAACGTTTCTGTTTGATTGAGAGACACTGCATTCAGTGCAAAGCGTAGTTTTCTTCCTACTATGGACAGTGACAATAAATTTGAGGGATGTATTTTCGCCCACAAAATTGTATTTAATTACAATTGTATTTGAAATACCCACGTTTTAGCATTTAAATACACACGTCAAATACATTACCCAATTTGTAATTAAATACAAATGCAAAATACACAAAGTATTTGAAATACGTATTTCAAATACTTGTATTTGAAATACTGCCCATCCCTGCCGCTAGCTTACGCAGACCGGAAATGACTATGGAATTCGACAGACAAAGCTAGCGGTGCGCGGGCTCAGTAGCAGCGTCTACCTCCGCTGGGAGATTCGGAGATAAGGAACGGATTTACGAAAGTGCCGAGTGTTTTTTAGCCGTGCTTCCATAGCAGACTAGAATACATTAGCGCACATCCAAGACAAAGAGAAGTAAGCTTGATTGCCTCGCGGGATATGCTACCTCGCCGGTTACGCGAGCTGTGACCCGCAAATTGAGAGCCAGCGGACCCGTGTTTGATGTTTGTGCAGGTGGCGGGAGACGTCGAAGAAGTTGGGAAGGGTTAGAACGGTGTAAAAGATAAAAACAAATAAACGCGAAGAGATTTCTTCTGCCAAAGACAAGAAAAAGACGATGGAAGGTCATGGAAAGAGGCGGAGCTTACTCTGCGTTGTCTTGATTTTTGTTTTTTTTGTATATTTGTGTATGCCTTGCACGTTTTTCTAGTAGTTCTAGTGACCGGTCATACAGAAATTCGTGTTTTCTTTTCGGTTATTCTTCTCCTCACAATGTTTTCTATTTTGTCGAGCTTGCTATATTTATGCTGCCCAATTGTCCGTTCACATTGATCCAGTTTTCGCACGATGTTTATATATTTTAATCTCTCTCAAATTGTCCACCACGGTATATCACAAAATCAACATACCTCAAGAGCTACGCTCTAATTTCGCATTACAGAGAAGTGTAAACGTCTGTAATTTTTTACTGAAATGATTGGACGCGCCGTTTGTTTGAAGACAACACCGTGGGCATTTGTTTTACATATTTCGCGCTTCGAAAAGACGAGCCTTCACATATCGATCGAATTTACCTTGCCAAAGATCTGTGTGTTGCTGCGAGAGGCGGGGAGCACATTTCACGCTGCCCGTAAGTTGCGTAGACCGACGATAATTGTGATGATGATAATTCGCAACTATTTCTTTGTGTTGTTAGCTATGGTTACGAGCGCCACCAAGCGCCCCACAATACCAGTCTCTACAGCGCGAATGCAATAGCCTAAGGAACGCAGCCAGCGCGCGAAAAATCTCGGGAGGCCATGGGGAAGGCCACATATGCTGTCTCCCGCGCCGTTGAGTTCGATTCTCCGTAGCGCAGCCGTGGACTCCGGAGAAGTACGACGTGGCGAAGCAGAGCAGAAGAAGCGTACGCATGGCGACAAACGGTGGCAATTCCTTCGCTCGGCGCAGCATCTGTGTAATCACTTTTCGTCACCTAAGTGATTTCAAATATTTGCTGTATTAGTTGACTCTCATTGGAAGCACGCACACTCCCTTTGCTCATTTTTACAAAATTTAAATCGTTCAGCTTTTCCACTCTCGTGAGGAAGGAAGACCAGCGGAGCTGTACTCGATACACTGTGTGCTTCTTCTTCGACGTCGTATGTTTTTCGCGCTGTTTCCTACGATGAATTCCCCACCAGCGCGCCCAACTGTCCATACTTCTATTATAGGTGGAAAGGTTGCCGCCATCTACGAGCGACGGCGGAAACCATACTGGTTGTGTGCTTGCCGCCGTCGCTTATAGATGGCGGTAGCTGTCCAGGTAGGTTTGTGTCGACATACATGGACACGATCCAGGGGAACCTAGCCCTTAACAGCTCCGCTGTAAAAAGAAAGGCAACGTAGTTTTAATATTGACGCTTTGCAAAGGCTGTACTTGTGCGCCGCCATGGCCATCCTTTTATTTTTGTTTACCCTTATTCCATTTATTTCACTTCATCATTACCATAGCAGACCAGGTTATTGCCAATTTAGATTCTACTGTGTCCTCCTCCACAGCATTGACCTTTCTGGAGTCTCGTCAATTATCCTTTTCGGTTGCTTGGTAGCTCGGTAAGACAAGAAAAGGTCAGCAATGGCGGCTGTAATCGGGCGCGTCTGTAAAGCGTCTATATTGAGACTGATGAATAAATGTGCAACGGTTTCGAAAGGTCTTCCCTCTTTCAGTTTACTGAAGCTAAGACTTGAACCATTTGAGTGTGGTTTCAGTTTTGGTTTGCCCTCTGTCCTTCACATCTGGGCTGTAAATTATTATCTTTCTCTTTTTTTTTTTTTTTTACGTGTAGCGGCATTTATGAGCAATCGATAAAAACAATGTATTGTGGTGTCACTTTTTGATGGCATGAAATTTTATGTCTTGTCTAATCGAATTCTGTTTCGGTATGTTCCTTCGTTGTCACAGGAAGGCATATTTATGTTATTCAACCTCGTGCTTCGTGGCGAACACTAAGATCTAGAAATTACGAATAGATTCGGTATTCGACGACCATGAAACGAAAAAGTTACAGTTCCGAATGAACAAACGTCGAGTATAAGGCCCCTGAAAACAGTGAACTCATGGTGCGACCGAGATGCTAGCGCGGAAGTACCCTGTCTCGAAAAGTTCAATACGAGAAATATGTCATGGGTTGGGTATCTATCAAAGGAGAGTAATTGCGAAGTAGTTGTCCAAGTCCCATTAGAGCGACAAACAGAAACAACCGACACCGGCGCATGCGCGTGAAGGTAGGTTTGGCAGTCTTGCACTTGCACGTACTTGCTCACACGAGCGAGAACATGCGAAGGCCAGGTACCTTGTTTACATTCGTCTATATTTTGCAGGCTTGCGATC